TTGTATTACATGATACAGGAATATCAGTTCATTATATGTGGACAATAATAGCGCCGACCATTTGTATTACATGAAACAGGAATATTAGTTCATTATATATGGACAATAATAGCGCCGACCATTTGTATTACATGAAACAGGAATATTAGTACATAATACATGGACTATAATAGCGCCGACCATTTGTATTACATGATACAGGAATATTAGTTCATTATATATGGACAATAATAGCGCCGACCATTTGTATTACATGAAACAGGAATATTAGTACATAATACATGGACTATAATAGCGCCGACCATTTGTATTACATAAAACAGGAATATCAGTACATAATACATGGACTATAATAGCGCCGACCATTTGTATTACATGAAACAGGAATATTAGTACATAATACATGGACTATAATAGCGCCGACCATTTGTATTACATGATACAGGAATATTAATTAGTTCATTATATATGGACAATAATAGCGCCGACCATTTGTATTACATGATATCATTATATATGGACAATAATAGCGCCGACCAGTTGTATTACATAATATCATTATATATGGACAATAATAGCGCCGACCAGTTGTATTACATAATATCATTATATATGGACAATAATAGCGCCGACTAGTTGTATAGAAATATAAGTACAATAATAGCGCCGACGAAATGTTTCAAATGGTCAAATTTTGTTCCCAATGGTATGATTTACAATCACATTTGTCAATGTAGCAAAAGTGGCTGCGGAGTAAGGTCATTTGACACCTGGAACTTGTAAAATATTATATGCCACTTAGACAATGAATGTACCGGCGTAAATTTTGTATGACAAGGTTTATTGCAATATCTTTAATATAGGCTTGTGAATATTAGGCTTAAATCGTCACTTTCCGTGACATTTATAAAGATCTATGATCATCTAAGCACTGCCAACATATATTAATTCAATTTATATCCATTACTAGCGTTGTGTTGCAGGTTGAATATACAATCAATGGATGGAAAAAAACACGAACAAGGAAATAAACATTTGATGTATGACACGAGATATTTATGTTTTCCGACACACCCTGCTGTAATTCGAGAACCTTTCTGAAATAGGAATATAAACCATTCCTGAACTACAAATAGATCTTGGTTAATAAAGAGACCGAGCCTATGGACATTCGTATAGACTTTTGAATGATTCAAGCATAAAAACATTTCTATCTTCATATTTGTTCTTTATGACTGTTGTTATGTAACTGTTAACATTGTTCCAATAGAAATGTAAATATATATTTTATATGGGCTTTATTTGTTTTTATTTATTGAGGAATATGGCTAATTAGCAATGCCTTATTTTCTTACCCTGAATTTTTATTGTTTTATGCCACATAAAGGGAGTAGTGGGATTAAGTCACATATAGGTTGTAGTGGTTTTGAGTACATATAGGTAATAGGGGATGGAGCCACATACAGAAAGTAGAGGGGATTGAGCCACATACAGGTAGTTGATTTTTCAGTCATATACAGGAAGAAGGGGGACTGGGTCACATTTAGGGAACAGGGGGGTCAAGTCACATTCATGTAGTGGAGGGTTGTATGGGGGTCAATTCAGGTAATAAATGGACTGAGTCACATCCATGTAATACGGTATAAAGCCACATACAGAAAAAAGGGGTCGCACCACTTACAAGTAGTAGGGGGGGGGGGGTGTAGCAACATACAGGCTGTAATTAGGATTGTGCCACATACAGGCAAAAGGGGTTTGTGCCACAAACAGGCAGTAGTTGGGATTAAGCCACATTTAGGCAATAGGGGGTTGTGCCACATACAGGTAGTGGGGGTTGAGCCACATACAGGGATAAGGGGGATTAAGCTACATACAGAAAGTATTGGGTTTAGGCGCACATTTATTACAAACTACATGTAGGTACACAAACCGGTTTTCATAACCTCTGGGGTTTTTTTTACTTTGATTATCAGTAAATTTTGTTCGACTAAATATTATGAAGCAAACAAGGAGTTGCCCGAATCATTTTTAAGTAACATATTTGTTATTATTATAAGATTTTACCTCATAGTTTCTAAACCACAAGCACATAAACATAACTCTGTATTTGAAGAATTATTCATTTTCATGTAACATTTCAAAACGTTATTCTTGACTATTTAAACATTTTTTCATTAGATTACCTGAGCACAAAATGTTCAGTTGAGCTTTTCTGATGGCATTCCGTCTGCCGTTCTGCGGTCGTCATTCGTCATTATCCACAATTTCTATAAACCACATTTGTGGATTTCGACCAAACTTCACGTGATTGATCATTACGTGTTATTTAAATATTTCCAGTCTGATACACTAGAATGTCAAAGGATCTATAATTATACTTTATAATAAAATCTTTTAAAAAAAGACGTCTCATAAAGAGCAATTCCCTAAGCTAAGATATTTGGCATTCAGCATCACCTTATGGTACTCTACAATATTTATATAAATCATGCCCTTGTGGTCAAAATTTGTTGCATTTTGAGTGTTGCTTATTTAACATAGCAATAGTTATGAAAACACATTTAAATATATGTGTGCGAAACTTTAATGCCCAGTGCTAAGAGATCTTGCACGTGGTAATTCATTTTTCTCTAGAACAACATGTCCTAGAGCTTGAACGTTTCAAACAACATAATAAAGTGGATCGGACTGCATGGTAATTCTCTTCACTACGTCTTTTCTACCTTAGAAATTTTGTTATACCTTTCTTTCTGTGAACAGCTATGTTATAATATGCAAAACAAGTATAATAAATTAGGCGACATGTTTCATTGTTTGGCGCTAAAAAGACTAAAGGATGATAGGGAAACCAAATTTTAAACCGTAAAATAAATTTAAGAAAAAGTCTAAAAAATTTAAAAAAGTAAATTGTTTACCTTTACCCATGCTATGTGAATCTTTTTAGAAATTTTTACGCATGTTTATAAAATAGATTGCTTAATCTTGAAACTTGGAATATGGTGTAAACAAAATTGAACAAATGTTCTTAAAATTTTTTACTGAAACCCATGCTAAAAATTTTTTGGCATTTTTTTTCTTCAAAAAAGTATTTTCAAATGTCTACTTTCAATGCAATGATATAGAGATTAAAAGCTTTTCAGCGTTTTACACTTTAAGAGTTTTTTGCCTGTCACTATGTAAAATTTTTCTTGGCGATGAGGGGGACTACCGCTCCTCTTCAAATCTCCCAAACAGAAGGGGCATATCCCCCTTCTGGCAACCTCCTGATGTATTATTCTGATGGGGGCCGCGCCGAAAAAGTGTCACTTTTTTTAACAACATTCTCATACGAAAAACAGTGTTTGGGACCTAAATAGAGCATTTTTTTCACTGTTTGAGGCCTCAAAAAGGGCGGGATGGGGACAAAAAGCCGTCAAAACACGTCTATATGAGGGAAAAGGTTTTAAGATTCAAGTAATTATTTACATGTTATATGCGATTAAGGGCTGATTTTGCGGTATTTATCACCATATTCCTATTGCGTTACTAACGCAGTAAGGGCTAATTTTGACCTCTTTTTGGTAATTTATGTGGATTGCAAGAGCTGTTTGCAAAATGTAAATTATTTTCTTTGTTCACTTTACAATATTTTACTTTTAAATACATTTTTTTAAATTTTCTTGAAAATCTGGCGGCATGGTGCTTTAAACTGTCTAGGTAGTGCGAACTTTTCTCTGATATCTCATATTTTAACATAACGATAAATTGGTATCTATAAATGTACAACAGAACTTGCGCAGTTCTTTCCCTTTGTAGAGGAATACAAAAGCGATAAGCATTTATTTTAAAGAACGTGCGCGAGAAGAAAAACATATATTATCCTACATAAATCATTATTAAAGTGGACTGTCCATAAATCTGAATATTTTCTTTTTTCCTCTTATTTTTCTTTTTTACCTGGTAAAATCATGGACTTTAATTACAAGTAATTGAAGTCCGTGGTAAAATACATATATGTCCCTGAACATAATTATTATAAACAACGTGCGCTGTTTTTGGACAGACGTACGTTGTCTCCCCTGAAATATTTGCTTAACTGGTTAGGATATTAAAATTGTCCGAATGGCGGGTGTAAAAGTGTCTGAGTTGTTTGTTCAGTACTACTTGTTCATACAGATATAACTGAAATTGATAGAATCTCAACATGACATACAATAACAGATCATGCATGATCCAGGTTAAATCTTAGAGTGCAAGGTGTTTTGCACCGATTATATATTGTTTAATTAAAGTGTGCAGGCCGATTTTATAACATAAAACCTGAGTATGATTACCTGAAAGGAATGCGCGCCGTTTTTTGCCATGGGACAAGATAAAAATATTTTTTTGGTCTAGCAATTAAGTACCCAACATTGATCGAATGTTAATTAAAATCCAAACTGTTTTTGCACTTTGATATACAATTTACCCGATCCTGGATGAATACAAGTCTTTTTGACACGTCCACGGGAACTTGCGTACAAGCCGTTTTTACTCATACATTAATGTATATCCTATATACGAGAGGCCTGTTTAATTTTAGGCCAAATTCTATACAGTGTTAGATTGTGGAAAATCAATAGGACCATCTGACCTTACGAGGCAGCGCATTCAGCTGTCCAGTCAGAACTATTTTCAGCACAATTCAATTTAGCGTAGGGGTTGCACGATGTATGTTTCTGGTTCATTCGCCTCGAAATATATCAAGTAGCGATTTATACATTAAAAAGTATAAATATAGTTTAATAAAACAAGGTTATATAACCTAAATAATGGTAAAATTGAGTAAAAAAAGAAATTGCAGCACTATATTATCAAACCAACTTTACACTATATTGACAGTGGTACTTATCAATAAATTAATCCGCGGCCATAAAGTTGTCTGCGTTAACATAGTCCGTATATTTTTTCCTGCAATTCTTCTTTATTTTCTTTTTGTATGCCATAATGCAATTGATTTTGAAATATATATTTACTTTCAGAACAAGAAACGTCATTTAGAGTATATGTAGGGAATTTAATGCCAAATTGTCCCGAAGACACTTTACGCTTCCTTTTCGAAGAGCACGGTGTTGAGGTCGGTCACATTTTGGTGAAAAGAAGTTACGCCTTCGTTGATTGCGAGGATCAGGCTAACGTCGACAAAGCTATCGAAAAATTAAACGGTGAGAGAAAATTGAAATGCATTTGTTCTTTTGCAGCCCGCACATGCCTGCAATGCTGATTAAAACGATTTCTTTAACAACATTTTTACCGGCGAAATCCAAGATGGCCGATCCACGTTTTAGTCACGTGCTTGGACTGGCTTCTGTAACATCACATTCCAGGGGACTGCCCCATTGTCTTTGAAAGTGCTTATTTTTCAAGGGCAAATAGTCTTAAACCAATTATTCCCTACAGAAATGTTCTATGTTGATAAAATGCAAATTTATTTATGTAGAAAATCAGGAATTTTGTAGTGGCTAAGTGGGTGGAGATAAAAAATTTGATACATTTTCTTTTAAGTTTGCTTGCTTCTTTCACCTAATGCATCCAGAATCTTAGAATTTGAAGTAGAATTTAATTAACTTGGAAATATAATATTTGAAAAGAAAAAATTGTGTTATATTTTATGCTCCATATTGAATAGGTCTTGTTATTAGGAATGAAAATTTTGTTAAGTAAAATTGTTAAAAGTTGAAATGTTACCTGGTTATTAGGCGCAAATCATTACATTATTGTGACGAATCGGGGTCAGAATAATTATTCCAAATCGACACGGGTCAACTCTGCCCATGATTATATATTACTGGTAATGATTACTTTTGATATGTTTTCATCATTACTTTCATGGTTAAACATTTTCACACTAACAGACCTCTATTGGACTATATGTACAGGTACACTGCCAACTTTTTCAATTTCTGTTTGTAAGTAATCATATTTCTGAAAAACTTTATATTAATTTTCTCCTTAAAATTTTTATTAACTTAACACTCTAAACAATCTATATCCTAACATATGTTCTTAATAGAGGGCCGAGTTGGTATAGGGCCGAGTTGACCCTTTACCATTGAGACTTGATGGTAAAAGATATTTTTTTGTGTTGGGATATTTCTAGGAATATTCTTTTATGGTAAGTGTAGACACACTGCTTGTGTGCATGATATACTCGAACACTAATTGGTGCATCGTAAAATAGACAAATTGGTGCATCATACATGTTTGTGCATCACACACTCATCTGGCGATATACTAGACCTGATAAACATAGGGGTCTTTTCCAGGAGATCACTGTTTATCTTATATATATTAAACTATACAAAAGAAATGAACTTTGTTTATACTTGTGCTTTTGACCCTTGGATCTTACCCAGGAAATAGGCCAGTGAGGTTATGTTTTTAATGAAAATACAATTCTGAATAATGCTTATATAAAGCTCTGGCTTTCTTCCATCCAAATGGTTGTGCATGGCCAGCTAGGGTCTTTTGCAGTTATTTTATGTTTCCGCTGCCACACTCTGTCAGTTGTATGCAGGAAATTGCATAAACATTCCCAGAGTGCCAAACTCTTAATAGCTTTGGTGCAAAATTCATTAAACACCATAGAAATAACTCGACATTAAATTTTTATTACAGGTCATAAGTTCTCTTGGTCAGATATGATGCAAGTGGAGCCATCAGTCGGACGAAGAAGGTAAACTTGCATTTACAACATTACAGCTAAAGCCTTATGTTTGAAACTGTATGCAAAATACACCAGACATTTAGTGACACTCTGTCCTCCATGATCTCCTGCCCATGTTGGAATCTTCTAAACATCTTCAAAGATTTCATACATTTGTATGAATTTCTAAGTAAATTATTCATACCATTAGTTTCTATGAGCATGTCTGAAATTTTTTAATGTTGATTAACTTTACCCGCTGATTATAAGGTTCAGTTTCAAACCAAAACTGTTACAAAATTAATTTCCCCAAACCATACATCTTAAACAATTAAATTGTGACATGTTTTTGTCTCTTTTTAGCTTAAAGAAACTTCACACACTTGAGAGCATCATAGGTCACTTTCCAAGGCCCATAACTCTAACATGGATTTGAATAGAATCTGGTCCCTTTTTGAACTTGGAAAATTCTACATTATCTAGGCTTGTGTTTAACTATCAAGCACTAAGAATTCTTAAAGGGACTCCACTGAGGTTTTTTGACATGATTGGACTGAAAATATTTTTTCCAGGTAAATGTACCATTTGATTTAGGTTTAGACCACTAATCAATTTCAGATCATTCGCGCATTTCGTTTTTCCAGAATAATTATTCAAATTGTAAAAGATGACCCAAAATGAAAAGCGTTTAAACGCTTTTCACTCTAATCGGGTTTAGAAAAGCATAAAAATACAATTTTCAATTAATTTCAAAGTATATTTCTTAACTATCCTTGCATGTATTTCTGTTTTACTTTAAAGTGTCCCAGCTCATTTATGTAAGAAATTCAAATGTTATGTTTTTAGGCTTTTTAACCTCAGTGGAGTCCCTTTAAAGTCATGAATGCTTTCTACTGAAAATCTGGTAGTGCGTCTAGAATCCAAATAAAAACTGGCTTAAAAAAGGCCTAGCTCCTCCATCAGAGCTAAGAAATATCTTACAGGCATTTTACATTATATTTTCAGGCGTTCAAACAAAGTTCAAATTCGCAACTTTCCTAGTCATATTGGTGCTGAAGAAATCCAGGAGCTTGTACGTTCATATGGTCCTGTTCAAAAGTGTGAATTAGGTGAGCAGATAAAATTCATACATTGTAATCAATTGAGAAACATAACAGTACTAGAACTACTAAAATTGGGCAGTATCAGACATGTTTACTTTGAGGTTTAAAAAAAATTAAGAAACATTGGTCGATTTCAAACAATTTATGTCTGTGGTTCTTCAGTCACCTTAAATTTCCATGATGCATTGGTCAGATAAGTTCCTATTGGGTCAGACTAAAAAGTCATCGCCTGACAAAATGTGTTCTTTGAAAAGGAACAGGGTAGCTCTTTCAAGTTTTGTTTCTTAAGAAAATTAAGTACATTTTTTTTCAAGTTAAAAGCTAATTTGTCACAACATATTTGCTGCATTTGGCTGTGACTTAACTGAAAAAGAAAGAGCAAATTTTGGTTTCCAGATAATGAGAAATTTATTACTTTTCAAAATTAATATTTTCATTATGTTTGCAGTTGGTGCAGAGGGTTTGGTGTATGTGACATTTGATAATCCAGAAGCTGCTCAAATGTAAGTAATTGTATAGTAACAGTATGTTACAGTACAATTGTACATACAGATTATTTTTTATTGTCCCATAAAAAGACCTATTTACGAAAACTTTTATAAGTATTTCTAGTATTGCAATGTAAACAAGTTTATCAAATAATAGTTAATCAAATATTTATTATAATCTCGACCGGTTTTTACTTGATTATTACCAATTTATCAAAGTGAAGGTGCTTTAGAAATCAGCTGAACATTTTTAGCTCTAATCTTTAACCCTGATCTCTCATTGGCTTTACTGAACCTTTTGTTGATGTCCATTTTTTCAAAGAGAAATGTTTTCACTTCGATTTAAAGACTTGACAATATTAATTTTTTTGCAGGGCTGTTACAAGTTTAAATGGCATAGACTTTCAGGGATCATCAATCAAGGTATGTTGACTAATATAGCTTTAACCCGTAACCTGCTGAATTGTTGATATCGCTATGTCCTAGAGCTGTCATTGATTCAGTGCAAAGCATATCAACGATATATCGATATCAAGTAACTAAAATCAACGATACACCGATATATCGATAATATCCTATACTCACTTGTCTGTCATTCATTTTCATACCTGTTTGAATGATTTCAGTCACAAACATGTTCTGTACAGTGTCTTGTCCACTGCATGATTTTTTCTAGACAATATTTTTTGTCACCATTGCTATGAAATAATTCCACTATATAACAAAAGCATCACATTTGATATAAATAATTGTTTCTGCATATATTTTGAGTGAATTGTATAATTTCTAGACATTTAATTTATAAGTCAAAAGTATCGATTTTTTAAAATGTGTATCGATTATTGATCGACAAAAAAATATCAAGGATACATCGATATTGTCGATATCGATGACAGCTCTACTATGTCCTGCTTTGATTTTAGGATTGTCCACTTAAAGTGTAAGGGATGCTATATAACTGTAAGCTGTTCAAAGGCTACTTTCCCACCTGAAAATTTTTTCCTTTGTCTGAAAGTAATCACCTGTTATGGCCTGTATGCCTTTAAAAATTGGCATTTTTTTCTTCAGATCTTCTGTGTGTAGAACACATGGGAGTGTTAAAACTATGTATATTGTAAAATACAGTGTTTATTCTAGGATTTGAAAAACAGGGGGGATTTTTCTCGAAAAGTGAGAATTTATTACATTTGTTGATCTTTTTCCTTCTTTGTCTATGTAAAATTGTCCCCCTTCCTCTGAAAAAATAGGGGTGAATTCTCAAAAATATGGGTGAATACCCCCATTGCCCCTCCTAGAATAGACACTGAAAATATGGGTTCAGAATCTGTCGATGATAAATTTTTATAAATCATTAACCATATAACTTGTAAAAAAAATCTGCATTTTTATACAAGTAGAAAATGATATTTATGACTGAATAATGGTGTCATTTTTTGCGCGTGCTGTCTTGCCAGCATTAGTGTGTATATAGAAATAGGTTTCAATTTTGTTGGTGAATAGATGTACATTTTCTTGTTTAGCTTTAATTTGAACATTTCCTTTAGGTTGACTTTGCAAGTAACAAGACAATGCGCAGACCAAGACCAAATTATGGCGGGCAAAACATGGATAGGGCTATGGAGAGAGGACCAGGCCCTCAGGGGGGTCAGAACAATAGGGCACAAGAATTGCCTTTAAGGTAAAGTTGTGTGTGGTATGGTTAGCTCTGTGCTAAAGACCTCTTGACCTTAGATTTAATACCAATTCAAGATATTATGGTTTTAAATAGAAAGACAGCTCCACTTAATTTTGTAATATTTATAAACATGTTCTGACTTAATTCAACTAAAGATAGCAGACATTCGATAACACATTAATAAGTTGCCATTTTGGTATTTTGAAATAATGATGTAACAGTGTGGGGGGGGGGTGAGGAGTGATGAAAAAAAAATGGGTATTATGAAAACAGGAAAGTAGGCGAGAGTTACTTTGGGGTTTACTGATGTTAATAACTCCTTAAATAACAGATAGTATGATGCATTTTAACCTGCATAATGTTTATATCGAATATACCATCATTGCTAAAAATTTGATAGTAATAATTTTCTTGAAATTTTAAATGGAAGGGTCTTAAAACAGTATATATATATTTCTGTTGCATGAGTAATAGATGAAGACTTGAGAGATGAATTAATGAAAATACTGTTTTATTTTCAGGATTGTGGTTGGCAGTGAGTTTATTGGTGCTATTATTGGGAGACAAGGGCAGACCATTCATAACATAACCACACAGAGCAGAGCAAGGTAAAGTTATACACAAAGAATTAAGTTATTGTCTAGCTGATTAGTGTATAAAGAACATTCATGTTGTTTGCAAACTAAAGTTGGCCAGATTCTTTATCATTTTCACTTCAAATTTTCTGTAGACGGTAAACCCTGTGTGGTATTTGGGTTTGGTCAGTCACATTACTTCACCTGCTTTTCACATATTGAGTAAAACTTTTCTAATATGGAAGGCTCAAGACATCCTTTTGTTATGTAGAGGCAGGTAGATTCTGTTTTGGAAACACTTAATGTGTAATGCTATCACAAGTTACTTTTTAGGTTGATCTCACTTGAAAAAAACAGTATCTTGTCTGCTAGATTTAAGAACTTTGTTGGTAAGAGGCAAGTTGGTAACTTGCAGGCCACAGACTTTCCACAGTCCGTTTGAGGTTTGTATGTCCGGCTGAATAAATAACACAGGCATCACAAGGTCCAATTAGCTAGGAAAAAATAACAAAACCGATTCTGGGAATGTTCGCCTATAATTGATAAAGTTAATGCCATTCTATTGTTGTGAAGTCTCTGAGTGACTGTTCTATTTTATTTTTTTTCAGAGTGGACATTCACAGATCTGAAATGGCAATGTCTCCAGAAACAGTAAGAATGATTTATCAGTTTAGTTGATTGTTTTCAAATCATTTATCAAAGTGTACTTTCAATGCTATCCATTTCTGTAAAGCACTTTTATTCTTCAAATTGCAAATAATTTTCACATGACTGAGTATAGGTTTGAAAGATCAATTTTTAGCTCAGAAGGAGCTAGGTGTTTTGGCAGAGATATTCTTTTAAAGTGGGTGGGGATGCTGTGGTTATAGTATTGCTCATTTAATGATTAGTTACTAAGAAAAACTCCGTTTTTAGCTTTCGCGAGTTTCATACTACGATAGTCAAATGAATTGAATAGGCAAATCTTTTATGGGTTGAGGCATCAGAACTTCAGCCACAGTTTAACCCTGTATGGTTTCAACGACTAAATAGGTTCAAATTACTGGAGTCTATACATCTCTTGGGTCCACCAAGTGAGGTGACATGCAAGCTGTCTAATGGTAAAGTCATTATTCAGATAGCACATCTAAAGGGCCAATGACATGTTGTTCTTTTCAGGTTATCACCATTAAAGGAAGTCCAGAAAGCTGTATGAATGCATGTGTAGAGATCATGAAAATTGTTCAAGCTGAAGCACAAAACCTTGTCAAAGGGTAAGTAGATGTATTCATTTTGAAAGGCTAGCATGGTTCTGTTGTACTGTTAAGCAGCATGAAATTTTCAATCAAATTGGTGGAAGGGAGAAAACTCCTCAGAATGTGTGTGTTTTTATAGATATGAACTTCATTGCAAATAAGTACAAGGGAGATAAGCATGTTTTATACAGATGTTTCCTCTATTGATCATATGTGCATGAAATAATTGCATGGGTTATGGATTACAGTTCTCATTGACTATGATATTCAAGATATTCTAGATAGGATTGAAGAACAGAGTATATGTAAGGAGATGTATTTATTTTTTGTCATTGACATAATGGGATTTTTAATCATCTTGTTACTGACCAGGTGAGTGGCCGAATGAATTAGCAGTGTCGGGCAGTTTTCCATCTTATAGATAACGTGTAATGTGTGTGTTTGTGTTGTTTGCATGGCAGCAGCTTTTGTGTTGTAGTGTTTAGCATAGTGTTGTCATTTTTATTGCAGAAAGGGACCTCAAGATCAACTGGGGAATGACAGGTATTGTTTAAAAATGTGTTATAATGATTTCATATTGATATTGATCCTATATACATCCTGTACAATTAAATGTTTAAAAATTTTACAATTATGGTAAAGTACACTGTATTTGATGTGTACATATCCCATTATATACATGTATATGATGTGACATACTCAAAGTAGGGCTTTTAATGTTCTTTAAAAATAAGGTTTCAAACCAGAAATGTTAGAAAAAAGTGACCTATACTCTTAATGGCTGAGAAAGTTTTCAAGTAATGTGAAAGGTGTGTTTTGAAGATTTTATATAAATCGGTGTTTCTGCCAGAGCGCGTTTTTGGCGCACTATTTTTGGCCATGACGCAATGAAATTTAGTTAGTGCGTATTTTGTGACGCAATAATTTCCCCGTCGCTGATTTCAACACGAGTCAGATATACAGACTATAAACTGTCAATTCAGTATAAAAATGTACGGAATGTTTACCGTGGGCTCCACTATAATTTTAATGAGAAATGAAATTTACCGGGTCCGTGGTCCGGCATTTAGCCAATTTCAACTAGTTAATAAACGCTTGCATTTATACGATACTGCATATATTGAAAGCGCCCAGACAAAATTATTTATTTTGTTGTCGTCATATTCCGCGAACGAATTAACTGTCTGCTGGAAAATGCCGTCTGCTCCAAAATAGCGGAGATTGACCAATTTCTTTACGAAAAATACACAAAATATTGTTGTCCATGACCAAAAAGAAGTATCATATAAAAAAATGTTGACAATGACCCTAATTCCCCGAAAGAAAAACAATCCATTATAAATGGTGTAATTTTGTTGATGATATATACAGGTGAATAAATTGACAAAAAAAATTAAAATAACTATTTAAAAATATAACACAAAAACAAGTATTTAACAATATTTTTATTCACATATAGTTGAACTACATGATGGTACATATATGTTCTCTGGCAAGAAGTAAAGTGCCTTAGAAAATAAAACTTATAAAGTGTTACCTGTTGTTTTTTACATTTTTGTTAAATTTATTGGCATGACCCTTATGAATTTGAAATGACCCCTAAAATATCATACAGAGGGTCATAAAAGACCCTCAGAAAATCTTAGCTGGCAGAAACACTGTATAAATTCATAGATTTTAATGGAGATGGCAGTTTACAATCTACAATTTTTAAAATGTTATTCAAATTGGGAAGTAATATACTTCATGACTTAGAAAATGTTTGAAATTGGTATGTAAAATTAGAGTTTTTTTGTGGAAAGAAATGGATATGATCAAAATATAAAGAAGTTGTTTGAATAGGTTAGAGTTTTGAATTATTTTTTTTGCATGATATTTTTTTCATATACAAGTTATTTAGTTGAATGGGTGTATTAATATTGTATAGAAATAAGTGTCCCTAGATATTGTTTTAAGATATATTCTTGCATTTTCAGAGATCATCCCATGAAGATACTGTGTCCAAACAACATCTGTGGACGAATCATTGGAAAAGGGGGCTCTGTGATCAAGAACTTCATGGAGCAATCTGGAACTCATATTGTGGTCTCCAGGTATGACATTTTTTTTGTAGGAAAATTATAATTAAATGTAAGTTTTATAGGAAAAATGTGTGTTGGCTGCAGATGAAGATGATTCAGACCTGTTGAAAAAGTAGAAGTACTTGATGTTGAATAGGTAAAAGTATATATCGTAAATATTGGTCCTTATTCTTGTTGTTCAATACAAAATTTTTTGTTATGATAGTGTGGTATCCTGTAATTTTGATTTGTTCACACGGTCTCTGTGGTTGTAAAAACCAAAAGCACTATTTGGACATTCCTGTTACAGTTATACGTAACTCAGTACATGAGGATTAGTTTAGTGTAAAGCAATGATGATCTGGTAATATCTTATGTATAATGAAGATTTTAACCATTATATGTACCACCCCAGTCTGATGCTTTACATTTGTAAAATAATTCGTTAATTTGGAATTTTTGATGTAGTTTTGTTATTGGTGCATTATTAGTCAGTGACCTTGAAAGCAATGATGATCTGGTATTATCTTATGTATAATGAAGATTTTAACCATTATATGTACCACCCCAGTCTGATGTTTTACATTGGTAAAATAATTTGTTCATTTGGAATTTTTGATGTTATTGATGCATTTTGATGTTCATGTTATAAATGCATAATAAGTCAGTGACCTTGAAAGCAATGATGATCTGGTAATATCTTACATATAATGAAGATTTTAACCATTATATGTACCACCCCAGTCTGATGCTTTACATTGTTTTACTTAATTATGCAATATTATATATCCTCTGCTTTGTATTTTTATGCCACCGCAGCATCTGCGATGCGGTGGCATATAGCGATTCACCTGTGTGTGTGTGTGTTTGTGTGTGTGTTTGTGTGTGTGTTATATAGATTATATAGTGAACTTAAAAAATCTTCTTGTGAAAAACCACTAGTCCAATTTCAACCAAACTTGGCAGGATTGTTCCTTGGGTGAAGGGCTTCCAAAGTTGTTCAAAGAATTTCTTTCCATGCAGAAATCTGGTTGCCATGGCAACCAAAAGGAATTATAAGAATAAATTAAAAAAATCTTCTTGTAAAGACCCAAAAGGCCTAGAGCTTTGATATTTTGCATAAGGCATTGTCTGGTAGACCTCTAACAAGATTGTTCAAATTATAGCCCTTGGGTCAAAATCGGCCCCGCCCCGGGGGTCATTAATTTTCACTATGTACATATAGTAAAAACTTAAAATACCTTCTTGTAAAAACCCAAAAGGCCTAGAGCTTAGATATTTTGCATAAGGCATTGTCTGGTAGACCTCTACCCAGATTGTTCAAATTATAGCCCTGGGGTCAAAATCGGCCCCGTCCCGGGGGTCATTGGTTTTCCTTATATGTATAAAAACTTATAGTAAAAACTTCAAAAAAAATTCTTCTAGCAATTGACAAATGCTAGAGGTTAGATATTTTGCATGAAACATTTTGTAGTAAACCTCTAGCAAGATTGGTCAAATTATAGCCCTGGGGTCAAAATTGCCCCCGCCCTGGGGGTCATTGATTTCAATATATACATATAGTAAAAAATAAAAAAATCTTATTGTCTGAAGGTACAAGGCTTAGAGCTTTAATATTTGTTAAATAATATCATCTAAAGGTACTCTACAAAAGTTATTCAAATGTTGCCTCTTGTGTCAAAATTAGCCCCGGCCCCGGGGGCCATAGGTTTTCCTGATATGTATATAGTAAAAACTTAAAAAATCATCTTCTCTAAATTTACAAAGGCTAGAGTTAAGATATTTTGCATGAAACATTGTGTAGTGAACCTCTTGCAAGGTTGTTCAAATTATAGCCCTGGGGTCAAAATTGGTTCCGCCCCGGGGGTCATTGATTTTCATTATGTTCATATAGTGAAAAAATAAAAAAATATTTTTGTCTGAAGGTACAAAGCATAGGGCTTTGATGTATTTGATATATAATATCGTTTATAGGTCCTCTACCAAAGTTGTTCAGATTTTTCCCCTGGTGTCAAAATTGGCCCTGCCCGGGGGCAGTGATTCTCATTATGTACACATAGTAAAAACAGAAAATAAAACAAATGTTTTCTGAATGGGAGAAAGCTATAGCTTAGATATTTGACTTGAAATGTTGTTTGGTGGACCTGTATCAAAATTGTTTTGAATTAAACTCTTGGGTCAAAATTATGCCTTGCCCAAGGGGACAGTGACCTACTTTCTTGTCCTTTGATGTACAGCAATGACATTTTGACCATGTGCATAGTTTTAGTTGTAAAATTGAACTTTGATATCAGGTGACCTAGATTTTGATGATGTGACCTACTTTCTTGTCCTTTGATGTACAGCTATGAAATTTGAACCATGCGGTGGCATAGCATTTTTCTCAAATGCAATCTTGTTTGGGGTCTGGTTTGCGTATTTTGCATAGTTGTCACTTAGACATAGTTTTAAAAAAAGATTGATTTAGAAATAACATTGGTCTGAGTCGTGTTTATCGGCTATTTTACACTGGTTTGGAGTTTAGATGTGTAGGAATTGACCACGAAGGTGATTGGGTTCCTGACAATCCCTGTTTTATGATGTGATATTATTCAAAACTCTTAAGAGTAATTTTCATTTTGATGGTGATATAACAGTTTGTGAGGAATGAAGCAATGATGATCTGGTATTATCTTATGTATAATGAAGATTTTAACCATTATATGTACCACCCCAGTCTGATGCTTTACATTGTTTTACTTACTGCCAAATCAAATATCCTCTGCTTTGTGTATTTTGGGATCTGGTTTGCATATTTTTGCCTGGTTGTCACTTAGCCATAGTAACGGCTTAAAATTTGTCAGCTGACTTTACAATATTAAGTCTTAAGAAAATTACCATTATTGCAAAATATGTCGTAATCAACATGACTTGAATAGCAATGATGATCTGGTATTATCTTATGTATAATGAAGATTTTAACCATTATATGTACCACCCCAGTCTGATGCTTTACATTGGTAAAATACTAGATTTGATCTGCAACTTTCAGTCACCTCACTCAACTCACCGTAAAAAAAAAAGAAAAGAAAAGTCAGTTTAATGATGAATAAAGAAGCAATGATGATCTGGTATTATCTTATATATAATGAAGATTTTAACCATTATATGTACCACCCCAGTCTGATGTTTCATCTTTTGATAAATAATATATTGATGTAGTACTTTGTTGATGTGTACTAAGTTGAATTTGAGCATGGGTTCTTGCAAATATAATTTGATGGAAAATTTTGTATTAAGCACCTTCTCCCAAATAAGAACGTTTTTGTTCTATTTTTTCTATTTTCACACCACAAAAGTACTGACAACTGTTTTACTGAAGGCATATTGAGCTATTTTGACTTTTATATTTTCATTTACTTACTTGTTTTCCATAAAAGCTGTGCTTTTGTGCCTGATTGAGTTCTTTCTCTTACAAATCTGTTTCGCCAATTGCAAGCGAATCGGAGTTTCTATTAAATGTATATAATCAATGTGCAAAGCAATGATGATATGGTAATATCTTATATATAATGAAGATTTTAACCATTATATGTAAAGTTAATCATAATTTGAATTTTTGATGTAGTTTTGTTATTGATGCATTATAAGTGACCTCGAAAGCAATGATGATCTGGTAATATCTTATATATAATGAAGATTTTAACCATTATATGTACCACCCCAGTCTGATGCTTTACATTGGTAAAATAATGGATTTGATCTTCAAATTTGTGTCATTGTTTTGCCGTAAGTCTTGTTCTAGTGGTGTTTTTTTATGCCACCCCAGCATCTGCGATGCGGTGGCATATAGCGATTCACCCGAGTGTGTGTTGGTGTGTTTGTTTGTGTGTGTGTGTGTTATATAGATTATATAGTGAACTTAAAAAATCTTCTTGTGAAAAACCACTTGTCCAATTTCAACCAAACTTGGCAGGATTGTTCCTTGGGTGAAGGCTTCCTGAGTTGTTCAAAGAATTTCATTCCATGCAGAAATCTGGTTGCCATGGCAACCAAAAGGAATTATAAGAATATATTTAAAAAATCTTCTTGTAAAGATCCAAAAGGCCTAGAGCTTAGATATTTTGCATAAGGCATTGTCTGGTAGACCTCTAACAAGATTGTTCAAATTATAGCCCTGGGGTCAAAATTGGCCCCGCCCCGGGGGTCATTGATTTTCACAATGTACATATAGTAAAAACTTAAAATACCTTCTTGTAAAAACCCAAAAGGCCTAGAGCTTAGATATTTTGCATAAGGCATCATCTGGTAGACCCTTACCAAGATTGTTCAAATTATAGCCCTTGGGTCAAAATCGGCCTGGCCCGGGGGTCATTGATTTTAGCTATATGTACATATAGTAAGAAAAAACTTAAAACACCTTCTTGTAAAGACCCAAAACCTAGGGTTAGATATTTTGCATAAGGCATTGTCTGGTAGACCTATACCCAGATTGTTCAAATTATAGCCCTGGGGTCAAAATTGGCCCGCCCCAGGGGTCCTTGGTTTTCCTTAAATGTATATAGTAAAAACTTTAAAAAAATTCTTCTAGCAATTGACAAATGCTAGAGGTTAGATATTTTGCATGAAACATTGTGTTGTAAAACTCTAGCAAGATTGTTCAAATTATAGCCCTTGGGTCAAAATTGCCCCCGCCCTGGGGTCATTGATTTCAATATATACATATTGTAAAAAAAATCAAAAAATCTTATTGTCTGAAGGTACAAGGCTTAGAGATTTAATATTTGTTAAATTATATCATCTAAAGGTACTCTATCAAAGTTGTTCAAATTTTGCCTCTTGTGTCAAAATTAGCCCCGCCCCTGGGAGCCATAGGTTTATCTTATATGTATATAGTTAAAACTTAAAAAATCATCTTCTCTAAATTTACAAAGGATAGAGTTAAGATATTTTGCATGAAACATTGTGTAGTGAACCTCTAGCAAGATTGTTCAAATTATAGCCCTGGGGGTCAAAATTGGTTCCGCCCCGGGGTCATTGATTTTCATTATGTACATATAGTGAAAAAAAAAATTTTTGTCTGAAGGTTCAAGGCATAGAGCTTTGATGTTTGATAATTAATATCATCTATAGGTCCTCTACCAAAAATGTTCAAATGTCAAAAATTGGCCCTGCCCGGGGCAGTTATTCTCATTATGTACACGTAGTAAAAACAGAAAATAAAACGAATGTTTTCTGAATGGGAGAAAGCTATAGCTTAGATATTTGACTTGAAATGTTGTTTGGTGGACCTGTATCAAGATTGTTATTAAACCCTTTGGTCAAAATTATGCCTTGCCCAAGGGGACAGTGACCTACTTTCTTGTCCTTTGATGTACAGCATTGACATTTTGACCATGTACACAGTTTTAGTTGTAAAATTGAACTTTGACCTAGATTTTGATGATGTGACCTACTTTCTTGTCTGACCTAGATTTTGATGATGTGACCTACTTTCTTGTCCTTTGATGTACAGCTATGAAATTTTAACCATGCGGTGGCATAGCATTTTTCTCAAATGCAATCTTGTTTTTTTGGTTGCATGTCGTCTTATACTTCACTGGGTACTTAGATTCTTTTTGTGATGAAGAATTGTGATTCTTTCCTTTCATACTGTTATTCAAATGACAGAGGGGGCTAAGAAGGTATTGTCCCACTTTTAAAGGAGGCAAGAAGTAAAATTACCTGAAATGTTGTAATGTCACATATTACTCACTGTAAAAAAAGAAAAGAAAAGTCAGTTTAATGATGAATAATGAAGCAATGATGATCTGGTATTATCTTATATAAAATGAAGATTTTAACCATTATATGTACCACCCCAGTCTGATGCTTAATCTTTTGATAAATGATATGTATGTAGTACTTTGTTGATGTGTACTAAGGTGCTAACATGAAATGAAGCATAGATTCTTGCAAATATAATTTGATGGTAAATTTTGTAATAAGCACCTCTATATAAGTGAACGTTTTTGTTTTATTTTCACACCACAAAGTACTGACAACTGTTCTACTGAAGGCATATTGAGATATTTCGACTTTTATATTTTCTTTTATTTAATTGTTTTCCATAAAAGCTGTGCTTTTGTGACTGGTTAAGTTCTTTCTCTTACAAATCTGAAGTTTGTACACTTAATTTTCTGTTGTGGCTGGTTTCTATCAAGTGTATATAATTTAATGTATAAAGCAATGATGATCTGGTAATATCTTATATATAATGAAGATTTTAACCATTATATGTACCACCCCAGTCTGATGCTTTACATTGGTAAAGTAATTCGTTAATTTGGAATTTTTGATGTAGTTTTGTTATTGGTGCATTATTAGTCAGTGACTTGGAAAGCAATGATGATCTGGTAATATCTTATATATAATGAAGATTTTAACCATTATATGTACCACCCCAGTCTGATGTTTTCTGAATAAAACTAATTTATTGTTTGGGATCACTTTCGGCTTTTCTTTTCATTTGGGATGTAATTAAGTCAGTGACCTTGAAAGCAATGATGATCTGGTAATATCTTATGTATAATGAAGATTTTAACCATTATATGTACCACCCCAGTCTGACGCTTTACATTGTTCATTACATGCAGGGATGCTTTAGTTGATTGAATTGTTCATTATATTATTATATATGACAAGTGTTGTATTGTTAATGGATAACACCGTGGTGATTTCTTAGTATATAACAAAATGAGATTTTACCAATATATTGTGTGTATCACTGTTGCTTTAAAGTTCTTAAATTATACATTTAATATCATAGATATGGTTAGCATAGCAATAGAGCCAAGTTTCTATGATTAATGAAACCATGATCTTGAAATACTGTGTCTGGAATACACATTTCAAGCAACATATTTTTGTTTAAATCACAAATCTCCAATTGTATCATATATATTGCCAGGAATATACATGTTAATCTTCAGAATTTAATATTCTATTTAACTCTTTATGTACTATGTGGTCTTTTTTTCCAGTGCACAAGATGCTACCTACTTTACTGACCGAGTCGTAACAATCACTGGTCCTCTTGACAGTTGCAAGAAAGGGGGAGAACTCTTGTTTGAAAAAATGAGAAAATGTGCAGAGCTTGATCAACAGAACTACCAACAGGTATGTGATTCTACTTGCCACTTTGACGGGGTTATGGGAAAAAATGCAATGTCATGACCTAAGTGACCTAGGTATTGATGAGTTTGGTGTTAAATGTACTACTACAGGCCTACACATGTCAGCATTTTCATGATTTAATTATGTTTCTACTTGTTCAGCTGTCTTGAAATCTTTTGTAGTTGATATTTTGTGGTATAAAGCCATCTTGTGTATAAATGATAGACAATAGTTCTAGAAACACATCAATGCCTTATAAACAATAGACAATCGTTCTAGAAACACATCAGTGCCTTATAAACAATAGACAATAGTTCTAGAAACACATCAATGCCTTATAAACAATACAGAGAACAACTTAGGTCTATCTCTACCATTTATGTTAAGGTCATATTATATAGCCCTTAATCACGGGCAGCTGTAAATATTCTGACGAAAAAAGAATATCACTAATTTTTTTTCTGTATGAATCTCGATTGTTGTGATAAACAAGTCTTTCAAGACTTGAAATGTTTACTAACAGGTAAGCTTTGAAAAGATATTAAAATAATGTTGTTTTTTTTCCCCAACAGAATATGGGTGTGTATGGAGGTATGGGTCCTGGAGGGCCTATGGGTCCTATGTTTGGTGGTGGTGGTGGAGGACGAGGTGGACCATATCAACAAGGACCATACCAAATGGTAAAACAACTTAATTCATGTCAATAATCTGTTGTACACCGTACTGACATAGCTCTATTATACATTCTCCTAGGATTAGAGTATAGGGCTGAATAACCAAGCCAGTTATTAAGTTGTAATATTATCCACATTTGAAGTGATAATATCTCTCAATTCCTGCTATTAATGTTGATGAAATTTCTCTGGTTATTTAATATGACAATTCTATTAATAGAAACTTATTATAAAGGTATTTATTACTGTTCAAGATGATAATTATGTACAATTTTACAGTAATAGGCTTTGCTTTTGTCAGGAATTGCACTAGTATTTATGTGATATTACATTGGGGTATGTCATTCCTGATTTTATGCCCCCAATCAGGAGGCAATGGTGGCATACATGTATATATTGCACTTGTAAATTCGTCTCGCTCTCCCACTGTCCCTGTCTTGTTATTTGACCTCTTCTGTGTTGGTGTGACATAAAACCCAACCAAAAAAAAAAAAAAATGAAAAGTAAAATATTTTATTGTGTTATATTTTTTATTGTAGCAGGGTGGGCCAGGGATGTACCAGGGCGGACCTGGCTTGTATGGGGCAGCTCCTCCCCAGCCCCCTCAACAGTTAGAGATAACATACCTGTATATACCAGAATCTACAGTTGGTGCTGTCATTGGAACAAAAGGAGTCAATATAAAAAACATTATGAGATTATCAAATGCTAGAATAAAGGTAACTTGTTTGTCACAACTTTGTTCTGTAGATGTATTATTATTAAAAATATCGTAAAAATCACTTGATAAATTTTAAACAACAGTGAATATCTTGTGTTATAGATTAATTTTTTATTAGAATTTGTGTAATGATTTTCTCTCAAGTGTTCTATTAACAAATGATGACAATCTGGTAGCCGTACTGAAGTGCTATGTTGATAACACTTATTTGGATGTGTTTACTGATGTTAATAGACACTCTGTCGTGATCAGGGTTCAATGTTATAGACAAATTCTCTTAAGCTCAAATCTCAGGTATTTGATTGGTGAGACACTGGTGTAGAATATATTTCGACCAATGAAAAGCCTGAGATTTGAGACAGAACTTAGAAAAAATATTTATAACCTCAAGGCCAGGTGTTAACTTTTCATCTATATTATCAGCTTGAAATAATAATAAAGAAGTAGAGTTTAAAAGATGAAAGTAAAGGAGTAAAATATTTGCAATAGTTGAATTGAATTGTATTAATTAAAGACACATTGTAAAAGAAAATATATATGAATATTTTTGGTCTGCTCAAATAATATTGGTTTGAGAACTACCCAGATATGTTACTCACTTCAAATAAGGTTTTGAAAAAAATTCCCCATGTTTTTGAATATGGAGCATTAGTTTTGGTTACTTTATATTCCGGAGGAACTGAATGCCAGAGTGGTGAAGGTTAGCTTCCGAAGTACTTGCCATTGTTTCGTAATAGGCTATGTGTATGAATTCTGCCTAGGACTTGTGGTTGTGTGTTAGAAAGCTAACTTAAAGCAGGTTTATGGTTCTACACCAATTGCTTGCTTATGCCATAGATAATGCAACCATCGAAAGCAGCAAAGTTGTTATGTGACTTATAAAATTCCCATTGTGACTTAAAACACAATTATGACAATTAAATGAAGTAAGATGGTTATTGTACAGTTGTGCATTGTTTGACATAAAAACCCAATAATAATAATAGAAGATAGATCCATATTGCACCTAATATTTAGATACTCATTATATTTTTCTTAGCATAAATGAATAGAAATACATGCAGATTTATGAAGTAAATCTTATATAAAAACTGTTACAGATATTAGATCAAAATCAAGGTGGGGATAATGGTGACAAACAAGGCCGAGGACCTCACAGAAATGAAGAACAACGTAAAGTCATAATAACTGGAAATGCCGAGGCACAGTGGAAGGTCAGTACTAAATTTTCTTGTAGATTCAATGCCTTGTTCTTGAAGTAATGAAATCAATTGGATTTTATTATAAATGAAGGAAAAATACTTGGCTAAAAGTAAGATGTAAATATTTTTCTTCTGTGCTTTATGACATGTGATGACACAAGGTAGCCGTACTGAAGTGCTATGTTGATAACACTGTATTTGGATGTGTTTACTGATGTCATAGTAATATTTGTTGTTGTTTTTTTACGTAAAATATATTCTTCTGATTCATTATGATAATTATTATAGCATAATATCTAGATATACAGACAGAAAAACAAGTTTATGATTAAAAATTGATAACTGGTAGAAAACATATTGCTGTGATCATGTATGTTTCTAGTTTTGTATGTGTAAGAAAGCTGTCTTGTACAACAGAAAAACTGCAAACTCCATACAATCAGCATCATAATTTAGATTTTTCATCTTGCCTTGAACCCAAAGACCCTTTGACATGCACACACTATTCTTTAGGCACTCAAATTGTTTCATAGTCAAATATTCATTTTGTTGAATTAGTTGGTGATCTATTAACAAATGATGACAATCTGGTAGCCGTACTGAAGTGCTATGTTGATAACACTTATTTGGATGTGTTTACTGATGTTAATAGGCACTCTGTTCTTCAGTTTATTTGCAAAAAAAGACGAACATAAAAATTGTATTAACAAAATCACATTTTGAACATCTTCATATTTATTGTGCGAACAGATGTAAGACATTTTTTTTATTTCTTCGATAGTTGATGTTAAAATACAACACTAGTTCAAACTGTCCCCTAGGCCACTTTTCTTTTAAAAAAGCTATTAAAATTTTTATGTATTGTTTTTCAGGCTCAATTTTACATAGCTGAGAAGATCAAAACAGAAACCATGGTTCCAAATTTAGAAGACTTCCATTTTAGAGCAGAAATCCTGGTGCCTAAACCAATGATTGGCAGAATAATTGGCAAAGGGGGACAGCATGTAAGAAGAATATGTTGTTTTATCCTTAACTTGTAGGAACCAAATTATGATTAGACATCTTTAGTCTGACCAGGCTTTATTTTACTCTTCTTTTAAAAAACTCCAGTAGGTTGAGTGTCAATTTCAGAAATTTCAGTATCATTATGACATAGTTACAATCCACAGTTTAATTACCTTCAGAGGTGATGTTTTGTATGTGAAAGTTTTCAAGGTATTTAGAGGATATCTGCTTAAAACTAAGAATATAATATTTTCAATATGTACAAATATTACACTGTCACTCTTGAACTAAGGGAGGTAATTCAAGTCTTTCCAGAAGCTTATAAATAAAGATATGTTAAGATGGGTGACGTGTCTGAATATATTGAGACTAAGTGTATCAATGGACTCGTGATTTGCAAATGCTTAAAAGACTAAAGTGTAAGGAAATGTACTTTTGATGTAATTTGATGTCTTTTACTTGCCTGAAAAAATGGTAAATTCCACTTACTGTATACTAAGAACAAGCTTCTGTCACTATAAAGAAAAACTTCATAGTGCACTTAAATGCCTTAGTGTTGCCATGGAAATTTGTTGTTCTTTTGGTGTCATAATTAGGGCTTACAGAAACGGGTTTGTTTCCACATATGGTGTACTTTTATGGTGTTCTGTATACTAAGGACAAGCTACATTTTACACATTTTTGTAATGAAAAGAAAGTTGTTTGCCTTATTTGAGAGATGCCTTAGTGTTGCCATGGAAATCTGTTGTTCCTTTGGTGTCATAATTAGGGCTAACAGAAACTCGTTTGTTTCCACATATGGTGTACTTTATGGTGTACTGTATACTAAGAACAAGCTACATTTTACACATTTTTGTAATGAAAAGAAAGTTGTTTGCCTTATTTGAGAGATGCCTTAGTGTTGCCATGGAAATATGTTGTTCTTTTGGTGTCATAATTAGGGTTTACAGAAAACTGGTTTGTTTCCACATATGGTGTTCTTTTATGGTGTACTGTATACTAAGGACAAGCTACATTTTACACAGTTTCATAACGAAAAGAAAGTTGTTTGCCTTATTTGAGAGATGCCTTAGTGTTGCCATGGAAATTTGTTGTTCTTTTGGTGTCATAATTAGGGCTTACAGAAACTGGTTTGTTTCCACATATGGTGTACTTATATGGTGTACTGTATACTAAGGACAATCTACATTTTCAACATTTTTGTAGTGAAAAGGAAGTTGTTTGCCTTATTTGAGAGATGCCTTAGTGTTGCCATGGAAATTTGTTGTTCTTTTGGTGTCATAATTAGGGCTTACAGAAACTGGTTTGTTTCCACTTATGGTGTTCTTTTATGGTGTACTGTATACTAAGGACAATCTACATTTGAAACAGTTTTGTAGTGAAAAGGAAGTTGTTTGCCTTATTTGAGAGATGCCTTAGTGTTGCCATGGAAATTTGTTGTTCTTTTGGTGTCATGATTAGGGCTTACAGAAACTGGTTTGTTTCCACATATGGTGTACTTATATGGTGTACTGTATACTAAGGACAAGCTACATTTTACACAATTTCATAACGAAAAGAAAGTTGTTTGCTTCATTTTAAAGATGCCTTAGTGTTGCCATGGAAATATGTTGTTCTTTTGGTGTCATAATTAGGGCTTACAGAAACTGGTTTGTTTCCACATATGGTGTACTTATATGGTGTACTGTATACTAAGGACAAGCTACATTTTACACAGTTTCATAACGAAAAGAAAGTTGTTTGCTTAAATTTTAAAGATGCCTTAGTGTTGCCATGGAAATTTGTTGTTCTTTTGGTGTCATAATTAGGGCTTACAGAAACTGGTTTGTTTCCACATATGGTGTACTTTATGGTGTACTGTATACTAAGGACAAATTACATTTTACACAGTTTTGTAGTGAAAAGAAAGTTGTTTGCCTTATTTGAGAGATGCCTTAGTGTTGCCATGGAAATTTGTTGTTCTTTTGGTGTCAAAATTAGGGCTTACAGAGACTGGTTTGTTTCCACATATGGTGTTCTTTTATGGTGTACTGTATACTAAGGACAATCTACATTTTAAACAGTTGTGTAGTGAAAAGAAAGTTGTTTGCCTTATTTGAGAGATGCCTTAGTGTTGCCATGGAAATTTGTTGTTCTTTTGGTGTCATGATTAGGGCTTACAGAAACTGGTTTGTTTCCACATATGGTGTACTTATATGGTGTACTGTATACTAAGGACAAGCTACATTTTACACAGTTTCATAACGAAAAGAAAGTTGTTTGCTTCATTTTAAAGATGCCTTAGTGTTGCCATGGAAATATGTTGTTCTTTTGGTGTCATAATTAGGGTTTACAGAAACTGGTTTGTTTCCACATATGGTGTACTTTATGGTGTACTGTATACTAAGGACAAGCTACATTTTCAACAGTTTTGTAGTGAAAAGAAAGTTGTTTGCCTTATTTGAGAGATGCCTTAGTGTTGCCATGGAAATTTGTTGTTCTTTTGGTGTCATAATTAGGGCTTACAGAAACTGGTTTGTTTCCACATATGGTGTTCTTTTATGGTGTACTGTATACTAAGGACAATCTACATTTTAAACAGTTTTGTAGTAAAAAGAAAGTTGTTTGCCTTATATGAGAGATGCCTTAGTGTTGCCATGGAAATTTGTTGTTCTTTTGGTGTCATAATTAGGGCTTACAGAAACTGGTTTGTTTCCACATATGGTGTACTTTTATGGTGTACTGTATACTAAGGACAAGCTACATTGCACATTATGGTTATTGTAAAAAATAAAGTTATTCCTTATTACTTGACAGTTTCAGTTTCAAATTACATGTACAGTATAGGATTAGGCCTCTGTTATTTACTGGTATAACAATAGGCCTTTAAATTTGAAGTGCAGCTGGAGGGTAAATAATAAAGGTCTTTAGACAACCTTTGAACCAACTAACAGATTATCAGCAAATTTTGTTTTTGCAACTATCAGTTTTTCATGAATGAATTTGTTCTCACTTATTTGTGTTACTGTTGATTGTTAAAATGGGTGTAAATTTGTAATTCAGGTCAAGGAGATGCAGCGAGTAACACAAGCCATAGTGAAAACACCAGATACAAAGTCATTCCCAGACAATGAGGAAGTCCCTGTTTCTATATATGGACATTTTTATGCCAGCCAATCAGCACAGAGACGCATACGTGCCTTGCTCAGCCAAGCCATGCAGGGCCCTCCAATGCAGGAAAGACCGCCTAACCAGCGCCGACCGATGAATGGAAACTAAGATTGGGTTTTTCGTCCTTGCTTATTTTGTGGAGTCGTGCTTTAATGAGATTTGAGAAACTCTTTTGTAAAGACCAAGACTTTTTTATTTTTTATTTACAAGCATCTTTACAAAAGATTTTCCACCATTAAGATCAAGTTGTTTGTTAAAGGGCATCTATATCAGGTTTTGTAGATCGGAGGCCCCAGACAAGTGTATTTATAAGGGGTTTGGAGACATGAAAGAACAAAGAAAAGGTCATTGTTGATACGTTCAGATCGTGGCCAGTTTGTGAGAATTTATTTTTGATACTTGTTGATTACTATTTTGTTATTTTTACAAAAAAAATGAGATAAACGAGGGTACTGTTTTTTAGGCCCTTGCGTTACGAGTAAACTGCCATATATTATTTATTTTCATGTCAGTATTCTGGGATACTAAATTTTAGTACCTGGCAATTTCTGGTAGAGCGGCATTAACTGGCATTTAACCATGATAATTGTATAAGATGTTTTATTTTCCGAGTGTATAAACTTGTCAACACATTAGTTACACTTGACAAATTAACGAAAAAGAAGTTCTAAAGACATTAAATACATAATTCTGTTCAATACACCCTCAAAATCACAGATTTTCTTTGTTCAGTGTGATCAACTCTCTAACTGTTAGTACTTGTTAAAGTACAAGGAATTCGTGTTAAGTAAACAGTCTAGTAATTGCAAGAAATAATGAAATACTGATTTATATTGGAATTATCTACTTATTTCTGAAAGTTACTGAGAACTCAGTAACTAGGTGTAAGAAAGATTGTATACAGTATTATTGTGTGTTTGAATGACGCCTGTGTTATATATGGGAGAAGATAATATGTTTCTTGCAGGTCAATCTCATCGCTGTAAGGGAAGGCATTTTTATGCTTCTGCAGAACTTGGTTTGCCTGCTAGAAATTTATAATAGACCCAAGTTTATTTAAAAGGTGAACAAGCAATCAACCATGGAACAGTGGGGAAACTATTGTGCTGTCCCCGTTAACTCCCCATTATTATAAAACAGGCATCATTTAACTTGGCTCCTAGCACTCTGTACAAATAAAACAAAACAAAAAAACCTGATTTGATGAAGTTTACAGATATTCTGTATCTATTACACAAGATGCCTGTCAGTTCTTGATTGGTTCAACTGAATTGATTTGATTGATTGTATATTTGATAACTAACTCAATCTTTGAATTCTACATATGGGTTCAACATAGATTGAAAAAGTTGTCAAATAAGTTTCAGATTCCTTTATTGATATACTGTATGAGGTATTAAAGCAACAGACTGAGAGAAATAGTATTGAACGTTTTACTTTTTAAAATATTGTTTCTTTAGGAAATAACATTTAAGCAAACTCTTTGTATTTTATCTTTGGAATTTTTGGTTTGGTTTAAATGACTCTGGGGAGGTAACTTACAAAGTAAAATATTTTCAAGATTTCTTATAAGATATATTTAAAAGTTGCTGTTAAGTTTAAGGTCTGATACTATATAGACAGTTATTTTATGGATCTTATGGACTCCAGTCTTGTTGGTAATATTACCTGGTACAATATGTCAAAACTTTGGCCATCAAATGATGCACTTTACTCTTATGCTTGTAGATCATTTACTTTGTGGAGTCAAGACTTGAGCTAAGTGCAACATTTATGGTTCAACACTCCTCCAACAAAGATTTATATTAAAACAAATCTTGTCTGGTGTTTTTATTCACAAAATTTTATTTCTGTAGATAAGTTGAGTAGATGATTGTGAAATGATAGGTGTAATAGTGCTACTGTTATAACCTATGGTTTCTCAGTCATTCACCTATATATGTATATTTAAATGAGCTGCGTCACGACAAAACCAACATGATGGGTTTGCGACCAGCATGGATCCAGACCAGCCTGCGCATCCGCGCAGTCTGATCAGGATCCATGCTGTTCGCTTACAGCTGGTCTGGATCCATGCTGGTCGCAAACCCATTATGTTGGTTTTGTCATGATGCGGCTCAAATTAGTTCAATATTGTTCATGGATAGTGTTTGGTGATTTTATTTGACTTACTGTTAACAGAATTTGTTCATTTTTTCACATTGAATAGTTCATGCTCTTAAATATATGGTCTTTTTATTTTTAGGGAAATATTTGTCCAACTTTATAATATAACCGTACATCGTGTTTAATTTATAATTCTTTCTCTTTAGAATACAATCTGATATACTGAAAAATTTAATTGTTAACATTTTCAGTTGGTTTGTAAAAATATGATATTTCTTCGGATTTTTTTTTTTTCACACGCACACTGAAAGGTCGATAAAATGGGAATGACTAAAGATTTTACATTAATTTGGGCATTACTTTTATAGAAATTTCATAGAATAGCTATCTCTGTAAACATCATCTTGGTTGTAGGTTAACTCGAGCTTTGTTATTTCGAATATATTTCTGATACTTGTGTACATGATGTGATAATGATTACTATTTGTGGGTTATAAAATAGCTAGGATTTGTGGGTTTGTGCCGACCGCCTCCTTTGTCGAGGAGTTAGAGTGGATGACTTCTAATCTAGTAACCTCTCTGGCGTGGGTTTGATCCCAGGGAGATGCTTTGGTAGTTTAGCATGGAGGAAGGTAGTTTAGTACTGATGTAACTCCAGGAACGATGGTTAGGAAACTACCTGCCTATATGACTGAAATACTGTTGGGGGGGAAAAGGCGTAAAATGAAACAAACAAACAAACCTACTGTGGTCGTAACCATTTTTTCCAGGCATGACACCTGTACTTTAGTAAGTTCCAGTACGATATAAATTGTTACACCTTTTTTTATCAAGGTGAAATAAGATTGGGTACATGAAAAACATAGTAAGTTTGACCAGTTGAATGTTTACATATGTAGCTATTTATTGTACATATAATCTACATTTAACAAAGAATATATAATGCAAGATTTCTCCTTGAACAGTAGCATAAATAGGACATAAGTTGCTTCTTTTATTGTAAAAGTTTTAAAACACAATTTATTTATTGTTATTTTCTGTGTAAAAGATCATTTCAGATGAGCACAGCATGATGCTGCCGAGTTTTCAGGCAGTATTGTTGAGGCAAAATAACTTCATGCTTATCCTAAGAAAATATTTTTGTGGCCACTAAACTATTGGTATGCTTCATTTGTCAAAACTTGTTCCATTTTCAAATATTTTTAATGACATGTAGTAACATTAAAGCAGTGAAATTCTTTAGTATGTCATAAATATTTTTTTCCTGAAAAATAGCTCAGTAGATTTTTATGCTTTTGTTGATGAAGAAATGTTGTCCGCAAAATTCTTGCAACTCAATTTTTCATGGTTACCAATATGATGATGATGTTTATGTTGTGACTATTTGAAAAAAATTGTTGCAAGTACCAAAAAAAAAATATATGAAAATATCTTTGATGTTCAATTTATATTCTGTAAAGGACAGACTTGTATTTATTTTGACTCATGCAGTGTATTGCCTGTCAGATTGGATATAAAACTGTTCCTTTTTGATTTTACTTGTAAAAAAAGCAGTACAAAACTCGAGCTTCAGACAATTCAGACAAAAAGAACGTGCATGGATTGGTGTTTATGTTTGAATATACAGAAGTCATCGATTGTCAAAAAATTATCAGTGGTTTGCTGACATTGGGTACCACCAGTATAAATGGGGATTAGTTTTCATCATAATTCTTGTATTTCACGATTTTCAAGACAATAAAGTTCTCAACTTTGTGCCCATGCATATTTGTGGCTGCTGCTCAAAGCTTGAATAAGTTGGTTAAGTTTTTCAACAGGTCGTGAGTGTGTTTACAGCTTAATTTCTGTACTGGTTTTTATGTATGCATCTTGTTGTGAAAATAAGGCAAGCCAAAACTGTGTTGTTAAATTACCATTGTTTTGTCATGTCTATATTTTCCAGTAAACTTTTAACAGAAAAGTAGATCTTTCTGTAATTTGCTTGCAAAATTAAATTGGAAGATAAACCTTGCAAGTGATCTAAAAATGACTATAAAAAAACTTGATTTTTATGTTGTCTTGAATAAGTTATTTATGATAATATGCTATAAAACTGTAACTAATTTACTTTTTAAAACTTAGTTAGTGTACAAACAAAAACATCCAAATCTGATTGTTAAAAAGCAAGGTATGTTCAGCATATTTTTGCATTTTCTAAACAATGTATTTAAAGAAGTATTAAGAGACAAATTCTCGCGTTTTTCTGGCATGTGATACAAGTGTTTGTATATTCTTGAGAAACATGCTGAATCTTAAGAAGTTTGCAATGAAAGTATTACTCTTAGTTTGATACATGACCATGTATCCCATTAAATATGTAACCATATACTATATAATACCAGTTATATATAAACATTGATGATTTTACCCTTCATTGTGTTGGTTTACTGTTTATTTTAGAATATTGACTATTTTGCTTAGCAGTTTGAGGGTATCATATTAATTGGAATATTAGATATTTACCTACAATATAGTAGTAGGATTCAAATTTGAACATTCAAAATTTCTGATTTTGCTTTTATATTTGTCGGTACGATTTGGATTTCAACATAAACTGCTATGTCATATCAATGTTGATAAATAGTTTAGAAATTTGTTTATTGACTTGATATCTTCAAATAATATTGTATGTATAATCAATGGATATACAAATTAATTTTATGTTTCTTTCTGATTGAAGTTCCTAGTAAAAATCGTATTTAGATGTCACACAAAATTTTGTTTGTACCTCTGCTTTTGTTTTGCATTTATTTGACACAGTTGAATAGTTCAACCAGATGGGTTGAACATTACTGCAGTAAATATACATATAGTAGTTATTGTGCTTTTGTAAGAATGTTTGCCAAGGGTGGGGGTAATTTTTGGGGGTATATATTTCAGCTTTCATTTGGTAATATTTGATATATTTTGAAAAAAAGGCATTTCTTCTTGTTTTTAAAGCCATAACTTAAAATGGAAATAGCTAAGTTTCATGGTTACTTAAACAAAAGCATTAGTTTCTGGGTTTTATTTCTTTGTAGTTTTCACAAGGTATACTCTTGATTACAGTTCAGATATATTATTGCATATTATATTATATTGGTAAATATGCATTTAAATTAACGGAGTAGGGGTGATTTCAATTGAAAACTTGACAATGTAATTTACTTGTAATGAATTAGAAAAGAAAAATAAACAACTGAATTTTTACTTAACATTCATTTCTGAAGAACTTGTTGCATTTTGATACAAAATTATGGAAGAATGGGAGGGAAAGATTTTGCATTCTATTTTAGACTACCTTAATGTACCTTAAAATCATGTGGCAGTTGAGTGTTTACATGCTTTAAGACTAGATGGTGTTAGTTTGGAGCAATTATGTAGTAAATTGGCAAAAGAAAACTGAAATCGAGAACATAGATTGTTACCTTAATTGATACTGTCTGACTTGTTTATATCAACAGATGGATATACCCAGTATGTTTACATTTAGTCGCACAGCATTTAGATGTTGTCTTTTAAGCTGTTTAATTATTTCAGTTAAATATTTCTTGGTTGATCTGAGCTGTGTTTTATTTCCCTTCATTTCACACTATATCACAGCAAAATAAATAACGCTTTACAATTCCTCTGTCTAAAGTCATAATTAAACAAGTTTAAATTTTGAATTTCTAGTTACTGATAAAAGGGTATTTACAACATTAATTTCCCACATTTTATTTTTTGCTAGACCTTTTGTATATGTGCAATGGTTTTGCACTTCAGTGTTTATTTTTGAAATTGTACTTTGTCAATATAGGGTTTTTATCCTAAATAAGACTGCCAAGTCTTGTAGAGTAACATCTGATGTTTGGAGACCAAATTGGGCAGTTTCTGTCATATAAATACCCCTTTATCATATTTCATGTTCTGGTTAGAAATACTAATTGAATATCTTTAGAACCACATGCTGTTACCTTGCAGTAACATAAAAGATTGCTGCATTCTGTTACAAGCATTAATTATGATATCAAAATTATCACACTGAAATTTCTCTTACTATTGAAATAGTGCAGATTGAAATGAAGTACATATTTGTAAAGTGTTTGAGAAAACACTTGCTGTACCAATGTTATTAGAATACTGTGTTCACTTTTGTTATAATATGGATAGATGTTCACACATATAGACGAGTTTTACAAACTTTGATGTAATAGCTTGTTGCATTTTCCCCCATAAACCTGTGTACAATGAGATTTTTTATATCAATTACAAAAAAATATATGTAAAGGATTTTAGTTAAATATGGTCAGAGTTTATGTGGAAAGAGCTCTATATCTGTTTTTGTATACCATACATGTATAACGTGACGTTTGTGAATTAATTTTTTTTAAATAGAATCCATTGTTATTGCAGGTTATTGATAAAAACATGTATGAGAAAGAGCATTCAATGTTGGTATATGACGTTGTTTAAAACGCAGAGACACTTGTAAAATCAACAAGTACTTATATGAAGTGTAATATAACAAGTGTTCACGGTATTCAAATGCCAGCTCCTATTCTACCAGGAATAAAAAATACTTAAAAAAGTAAATTGGTTGTTGTTACTTTACCCTCTATTTACATAGAGTTCAATGATTCTACTATAATACAAACTCGCATATGTAGAATATGCCCATCTGAGAAGTGTTTTCTTGATGTATTAGCATTTGTATTATTGTCATGGGTGCAAGTTTTCCGGCATGTGCCGGAAGTTCCGGTTTTTCACGTGTCGGAGAGATCCTTTTTGCAAATCACGTAAATCCGTTGAGATATTTGGAGGGGTATGGTGTGGGTCTACTCTTTCGAACTGAGAAGTACCACCGATTAGAAGTTCATAATCGAGAACGCTATATAACATGCGGATGCTCACGGTTGTTCTCGAAGCGTCAATAGTAAACTTTCGCGGAAACTGCCGATAGTTTCCGAAGATATACGAGATGTTTACGAAAACATGTATTATTAATCCCAGCATGCAATTTTATCCGTGAATTTATTACAACGATTTAGATTGGCGCGCTAATTATAATCATCCAATGAAAAAGCGGCTTCGTTACCGATTCGGCTACAGAGTAATATGTAAACAGAAAGTAATTGTACAATTTGTAAGTCAAAAAGAAGTTTCTACACGAAGGATTTAATACAAAAGATATCGAGAAGACCTCAAAAAATAAATGAAGATGGGAATGGTTGTCTGTATGTGATCGAAACGGGGATAACTACGGAAACTGTTTAACTGGCTGGAAAAGCCAGACGTTCCCGGCGTAGCTTTCTGCACTGTATGCATATGTAGAAAATCCATCAAGTATGGATCCAGCGGGAAAAAAGAATTAAATGCACGCAGACGATCCAAATCATATGAAAAACAAACTTACTGTGAAACATAACCAGGCTTGTTTTAATTATCTTTTTTGAAAACAATTTATTGTTTGTATGGAATCAGGGTCAGCTCAGCCCTAATTAAAACGTAAACTCGGTACAAATCAACTCAATTTTGAAAATTTATTTATATATTGGTTTGTTTTATCACTCTTTACTGTTGGAACCACAATATTAAATAGTGGAAACAATATATGAATGCACATTTCTTTTTGTGTTGAAATGTTTTTGTTTATATAATTAAGAAAAAGAGAGAGAAAAGAACAAACAAATAGTTCAGGTTTTTCAGAATTTTTAACTTGCACCCATGTTATTGTTCAAGAAATAATTTTGCGATGCGATGTTAAGAAATGACAAACTGAAAAAACGTTTCAGGGTCTTAAGCTTCCGAGATGTCCCTAGTATGCCATAAAATTCACGAAATGCTAGCTTTCGTATTTTTACACCCTACAAATGAAGTTTGATGAAGGAGTGATTGTTCTACGTACACTGAAATAGAGAAAAATAAGACTCGTTCTATACATATGACTTTTTCTCTCAGATTCTTGAGATTTTATCTTGCCTTTCTAAACTACCTTCCTACAAGATGTCTTGCCCGTACTAGATCTTGTACCTTCAGGTTTCAAACTAGTACAGAACTGCCTTTACAGGCTTCACTTGTAAATACAGATTTATCAATAGCAGATATCAGCCTGTTTACAAAAACAGTACAGATAATCTCCCAAATGCCTGTTCTATATCTCTGACAAGTTTTTTGACATAGCTAAACTTGGGTAATATCTTTGCACTGTTCAACAACGGCCAGCTCCAAAGACAAGTTTGCATTGCACATATCAAAGGCTTTTGCCACTCCCCAATAAATCGCTGAACAGCAGCCAAAGTACCCAGAGCAGAGTCGTGACAGTGAAGGAATACATTTTACCTCTTTGGTAGACTACAGACTTCTGAGTTAAAACTTACTTTAACCTAGCCTAAGTCACCGCAACACCCTAAGACCACCTGATGTATCCAGACTCCTATAAAGAACCTTATACTTTGTACCGCCCGTCTATTAGCAGTTTTCGTGTCCGGTCTGTATTACATGAACCGATGAAAGGAAATTGAAACTACTTCTCAGAAATATTAACCATAATGATACGATATGCAGAGAGCAGGTTTGACCTTTCTAAAGTCATGGCCACACTAAGTCATTTGTATCAATTTCAAAATTTTGTGTCCGCTCTGTATCTTTTGAACCAATAGAAAGAAATGAAAACTTTTTGGCAGGAATATTACCTAAAACAATACGATGTGCAGAATCAAGTTTGGACTTCCCAAGATCAAAATTGTCACCGCACCGTGAATTACTTGATATATATAGACTTGTATAGGGTAAACATTTATGTTACAATGCGTAAAACTACAATGTCTAAAACATAGATATTTAGCATGTAGCATTGCCTTATTGACATTTACAAAACTGATATGAATCATGCCCCTTGGTTCATTACTGGCCCCGCCCAGGGGCAGTTGGTTTATATAAAACACACATATCTGAAACTTATGTGAAACTGCGATGCCGATGCTCATTTACTTAATATATTTTGTGCAGAAAACACATCTTAGTCGAATTTTGGTGAATCCACAATGCCTAGAGTTTAGATGTTTAGGACATTAAACCTGTAGCATTGCCTTGTTGGCCTCTAATCATGCCCCCGGAGTAAATGTTGGTCCCGCCCCTGGGGTCACTTAGTTGATATAGTCTAGCATAAGACAACACATTTCAGTCTCACTTTGTGAAACTACAATGCCAAGAGCTAAGATATTTACCATGTAGCATCACCTTGTTAACCTCTGCAAAATTGATATTTATCTTGCCCCTGGGGTCAAAATTGGCCCGCCACGGGGTCACTTGATTATAGGAAAACAAATTTTTCATATTGTATGAAACTACAAAGCCCAGAGCATGTAGCATCACTTTGTAGACTTCTTTAAAAATTATATTAACCATGACCCTCAGGTCAAAATGTGCCCTGCCACTGAAGTCACTTGTTTAAACTAAATTAAGGTATATAGGGACGTCCGTGGCTGGCGGTTGAATCTCGTCAGGGACTTTGGATTCTTTCATGTGAGGAAGCTATCCAGCTAGCTTACGGAACGTCGGTGGTTCTAGTCAGGTGCCCGTTCGTGCCTGAAAATGCTTCTGAGGTCTTCCTCCACCAGTAAAGCTGGAGCGTCGCCATGTGTCGATGTGACGTAAAACCCAAATAAACAAATTAAAAAACATTAGGGATATAGGGAAAACATCTTTTTGTCGATAAATATGCCTCTATATTTTTCATATGTTATTTCCTAGTAGACCTTTATATAAGTTTTATGAATCATGCACTTAGGGTAAAAATGCCCCCCCCCCCCCTACCTTGGAGGCCAATATTATGTTATCATAAGGATAATGAAAGATAAAACATTTTTCATTGGGTCTCACCCTAATTGAAAGAATACTTTTGATTACTCAAACAAATTTACATTTGTGAACTGATTCCTTATAAGGATGTAAAACGAAGAACAAGAATATTTTCACTTTATTTTCTTTATTTCAGTCTCATCTTTACATGTATAAATAAAATTACATATAAAACGTAAAACACAAACATTAAATACATGAAAAGCCATTCTAAAAGAATTACAAGAGACTATTTATTTTTGCCTCTAAGGGAGACAACTGCACAGACCATATCACAGCAGTTAACTGTTTTATGCACTGACGAATTGTCCCTCCTAGCTACACAAATTTCGTATATTCATTATCATCATGTTATATTGTATTTTAAAAACATGACCTCAATATATTCAAACTATTGCATGTTTTTCCTACAGAAGTTTACATTGTGGTACAATGAATAAAACGATACTAAAATGTTTAAATGCAAATGGTAAGAAGAAAAATTGACCATTATATATCATTTAACCTTGGAAAGTATGTCATTTATTATACTTGATACTTAACATTCTCAAAATATTACTAACTTCAGTATATCAACGATTTGTATTCTTCAACATATTAATTTACATGAAAATCTGTTTTATCCAATATATTGGCTTAGTCAATGGATGTTTTATACAGAAGCAGCATATATTTGTCCAATATGAAATAAATATGGCCATAAAAACTTATATATAAGTCAATTAATGACATTTATAAAGCCATATCCTGTCAAATAAAATTTTCTAAGACTGTTTTTATTATAAATTATTTTTATACTGTCCAATTAAATTTATCTAGGACTATATAAACTATAAAGTAATATTCACTTTTGAAAAATTGATAACGATGTGAGACCACAGTCTTAGTGTGAGTAAAGTATTTATCTTAAAACCTACATTGCAGTAAAAACATTTACCTATTATTCTTTTATATACAATGTACAGATTTTAAATAAAATATAAAAAACATATAAAAAGACACATCAGAAAAAGGAAAAAGAGAGCAATTTGTATGCTCTTATATGTAGGAAAGTTACCCTTCTCATAAGTATGTCAAAGCAGGGGTTCGCAATATACCGTACACAACTCGTTTTTGAGAATATAAAAGTAAACTTCTCCATAGTTGTCATTGTGTGAAATTGCGGGTTTTTGACACTCACTTTTTCAAATAGATCTACACGAATATCTTCATACATAACACATTCCATTACAGCATGAAATCCACTTTCTACCTTGTCATTACAAAAAGGACAAAGCCTTTTATTTACTGGTAGGCGTTCATATCTACCTGTCTCTATTCTTAGTGGTGTAGTTCCACATCTGAACTTAGCAAAAGCGGACCTGTGGCAACGCGGTAGTATGATTTTGCAATATTCCTCAGTTCCAAAAGCTGTCTTAAACTGCCTATATGTGTGCAGTTTGTTGCCACCAACCCCGCTTCTACTTCTTTCAGATGCATTAACATTCCACTTTGCAATAAAACTTTGCATTGTTCTAGATTGAACTTTTTCTAACATCATGATAGCTTTTTTTTTGATACCACATTATCAATATTACAAAATTCTGTACATTCAAGATCATGAAAAATTTGTTTTGTTCTGAAACACCAGTTTTTACATCTTGTACTACCAACTGAATTAGCATACCTAAAAACATTGTAGTTTGTTCTGGACCTAGTCATCATACATAGTCTGTGCCAAAAATTAGAAACACTTATATCATCTGTCTACTGAAAGTTGGTTGCCAGCCCATATCACCTATCAGGGCTGCTGACGAATATACAATAATAAAATTGCATTACATTTGTATTTACATTGGTAATTATTCGTCTTGATAGGTTTAATTTGTCACATGTTATTATCATTAAATAATCTGTAATTAAATAAAATCATCCGACATAATGATAGAGAACATACACACATGTTCTAAGGTCATTCAATTGATATTAAATGACATACGAGTAGAATTGTATAGATAAGATTTCTAAAGTGCCATTTTGAAAAAGAATTTGTTCAGAGGCGCATTAAAAATTGATTTACGGCAGTACCATTTTTAGTAGAAGAAGGCATTTTCTGGAAGTTTCTCACAGTCATGAGATATACCAGTGTAGACAAATTAGGTTTAAATGACCATTGACATTTTAAGGGTGTATGTTCTGATGTTCACTTAATTGTTCATGAAATACATAGACATTTTTAATTTCTTAAATGATTTGATGAGAACACTTTAAAAATCGTGACAAACAGTTCAACAATACATATACAAAATTGATAAAAAGTGCAGGAACAAGATAAATTATACTTGAAAATAACTGACATTAAGTGGTTTTTCTTAAAATTTAATTGAGAAAAACCAGTTAATGTCAGTTATTTTATTATATTATATATCATGATCGTGAAAGCTACTATGTTCAGGTTTTTCCCTGACTACCGAATAACATTCCAAAACAACAAAATCACTATTACACTCGAGAATCTATTCTGATTTAAACAATATAAACAACATTGAAAGAAATAGCCTGTCCAGTCTCGAGTTTTATTCAAATTATTGTGGACAATTTTGTTTAATTTTTCATTTAATCTCTGAAGATTATTTATAAAAATATCTATTATATCGGCGATAACGACTTGCCTATAAATAAAAAGATGCAGATCAACATCTTACTGGCTTTTCATACAATCTGATCAAACTCTAAACTGGAAAAAAGGATGAAAAAGACACACATATTTTTTCTGAATGAGATACCCAACAGAGCACTTAAAATATGCATGAATTATGCATATTATGTCAAAATATGCCAAAACAGTTCTGCCTTTATTAGGAACGGTTTATCGAAAAGGCAATAAATTCAGTCATATTCTCCTGAAACATGTAAACGAAGCGAGTATATTTATACATTGCTTATACTCCTAATATATTGTTCTAAAGTTTGTTTTTTACTCAGTTTGGTGTGCAGCTTTAATCATTCATAATAATACTGTTTGTTCAAGACATGTTTAAATTTAGAACAAAAATGAATGCGTGGATATATAATATAAATGTCTTTGAAAGTTTAAATGAAAACAATCTGAGACAATCTAAGACAATCTAAAATATCATTTTTCCATAAAGATTTCTTATTTTCTATATTGTAATTGAACTTAAATATAACAAGAGTTGAAATATATGAGTGTTTCGTTAGTTCAAAGGGCTCAAGTTATATCCAATGATATTTTATACAAAAATGTAAAAAGAGTAAACCTGTGATGTTGTTGGCATGTTTAAAAGAGTTATAACTAATATAGAATGACTTTGTTATTTAACACACATTGGTACACTACGTAAATAGAATAAAATGTACCGCGGAAGAAATCTTAAGAAGGACTTCAACAGTTTTGCAATGATTTCGTCCACATAAAAAAATATATCTATATTCGAGTAATTTTAAAACAAAAAATTTGTAAAGGGCAAGTAGCGTAGATATAGCTTTTACATTTTAAGAATGTATTAATCGTCACTATCCACGTGGAACTTTGGATGTTTATACATAATATGACAGAATTAACAATTATTTAATTTACAATATTTCTACCTATTTACTAACATATAAAAGTTAGGGTCATTTCTCCATATATGGACACGTTATAACAAGCATATGGATTAAGTGTACTAATCACTTTATATTTACACGTTTGGCAACATGCTTTTACCAATCATGTCTTTTTTTCAAACTTTCGTGAAAATCAGCAAAAATCAGGGGCCGGTTCACTTCATTAACATTTAAATAGATCAACACTAATAATAATATTAACAATAATCTTATTTACATACATTTCACGTACATCACCAACAACAAAAATGATAATAATACATGTTAAATTACCTTAATATCAACACATGCAAAAATACGGAAACTTTTGAAATTATTCGAAATAATTGATTGATTGATTGCAATAAAAATAAAATTACACTTCACGATGTTTTCATTTCTGAATTCCTTAAGAAACTAATCTAACATCCATTATCACGGCAAAAGGACAATATGACAGCGATTATACGAACATACCATTGTAAAATTCGATAATGTTTCTGAAATTTTGATTAATGTTTTTTTTCTTTTCTAAACAATACTGTAAGTATAAATGTAGCGGAGTAGGAACAAATGAATATGTTAGTGTCAATGATCATGTCTTACTTTTATTATCAATATTTCTGAAACTCGATATATACATCGAACATGTGATGCTTTATATGCTGTGTATCAGGACACCAGAGAAAGAACATAAATCATTACTATTGTTATTCTCATCTAAATAAGAGAATGGCACTCCACCAAGTTGAACATTTTCACCTTTCCGAACCAAGGCCACTACACTAAAAGACGCACATTTTGCATCTGAAGCTTTGGCTGGGACGGTAAACTCTCCAGAAACTATTGATAGTGAGTTAACTGCGATGTAATAGTCTATCTCGTCTATAGCTTCATCGCCGCAAATGTGTGCATTAAACTGATATATACCGTCAATTGGTGCTGTGAAAATCCCCGTGTCTATGTTGTAGGCCCCGCCTTTGTTTAGTATGGTTTTGGAGAATTTCATGACACCAAAACCCGTGTAGTTAACTGCATCCATCACATTGAATGCTACAGTCTCTAAAAAGGTTCAAATTTACTACTTAGATCACAACAACAATTTAAAGCAGCACGCCTGCAGATTCATGCTAATTTTCATGATAATTTCAAAAATCTAGTTAAATGTATATTATTGTGAAATAACCAAAAGAAAGGAAATTACACACTATCAATGACACTTTTAATGTACATAAACTACCAAAATAGGTCAAAATATGCAAAAGCTCTTAATGCGTTAGTAACACTGTCGAAATATAGTTGTAAATACAGAAAAGAATCAGTCATTAACCGCACATAACATACGAATTATTACTTGGATCTCGAATCTTATTAACTTTCCTTAAATCTTAGTACATGTTTCTCAAATTTGATATTTAAATCATATTTCGGCTCATCTGGAGGCATGTAGCATTAATTACAATTCAAAAATTGCTATTGGCGACTGTAAAAATATCACCAAAGAATTAAGCACAAGTAACAATAAATGCTATATTACGCCGCATATTACTCTGCTCGAATGATGATGATGATGATGATGATGTTGCCGTGATGTTCTGATAATTAGAATGATGATGAACTGATAATGATAATCTTGATGGCGATGATGGTGCATTGCTGATATGGTGATGGTAATGTACAATATTAAAATAACTAAATCCGCGTGTTCTATATATAAAACACAAACATATGTCAAAAAGATTAAATGCATGCTTATTCTCTTATTCTTAAGGAGCTTTATCTTTAAATACTGGTAAGATACTTTAAGATGATAAATACTGATAATATCTTATTCAAACCGGTTTTTGCACATTCATTGGCTCGGTATCATAATGGCAGAAAAATTGAGTTTTTATGCTTAAAACCTGCCCGGTGAATATGGATTTAGCTCTGTTTTTGTAAATCATGTAAATATGAATTTTAAATTATCTGTCAATTTGTTAATGAAAACTGTAACGGATTGTATCTTACCGAAACCTTTTGGTGGTATTGAAAAATATGAAATATTGAAATCCGTGTACATGCATTTAAAACCTAGCTTTATATGGTATATCTGATAACTTAATTAAAATAATTTTTTTTAAATTATGTAATCACATAACTAGATTGCGCGTGTCGTCGCATAACTTTTATAGAATCTTTTAGAAATGGGCGAAATCGAAAATCAAGAAATGAAAGATTATGTTATTTCTGTGGTAAAGACATTGAAGATGAATTACATTTTATAATCACATAAAAAAGTATTCCGACCTGTGTAACAAATTCATACCTTTGAGTGCTATATACGGTGTAAGCAGGCTGTTTGTGTGACAATTAAAAAAGTTGGGTGATAAAATAAAACAAAATAATTTCATTTTTAACATCTGATTTCATTAAATGCCCATTGCGCCCCAGAATTGCATTAATTCTTATTTAATAAAAGCTATTTATTTTTAATCCCCCGTTTAAAGTTTCAAAATGGTTAACTATCTCACCCATCTTTCGCCTATGTTGCATTTTTATTTGTTTGGGTCGTCAGACCAAACAAATAATGGTAGCGAAATTTCAGAGTCTAATGTTGTTAATTGCAAATGCCGAAAGTAGTCCACTTTTTTGAAGCGGTTACTTCCCTTTTGTATGTACACTAAAGCCGAAAAATTCAGGGGAGATCACTGCGTAAAGATGGTCAAAGACAGGCGCATCAATTTTCAAGCAAAGTAATTCCCGAATGGACGAAGATTTCTAATATTGTTTTATTGTATTTTCTGATCGAAAATAACTAAATACAAAGCGGACATTCAATCTCTGACACAGAAGTTTACAACAAACCTAACAACAAGTAGTTCTCAAAACAGCTTAAAACTAGCGATTAAAAAGAAAGAAATATTTTATTTTGTTACAAGTATCCAACAAATTACAACGCATTTAAAGTTAAACAATAGCGTTGGCTTATAGAATTGTCAATAAATGCACAATCACAAATTACGCGGATGAATATGATTTTATCAATGAAAATACTATTTATTACCGAATACTACACAAACCGAGTAGTGGAATATATAGATTCTACATGTCGGACTGTTTGGGCGAGAGGATTTTCGCTAAAATATTTACTTCAATTTTAAACAACAGGTTTACCCTGAAAAAAATACCTCGAAATTAATAAGGATTACAAACCCGAAATGCAATGGAAGTTCTAAATTTAGAATGACTTGATATTATTCAGACTGTCTGTGTATCATTTTTCCGTGGTACAGTGGTAACGCGCTGGCTTAGTGAGTGAGAGGTCTCGAGTTCGAATCCCAGTCGGGGAAACTTTTTTTTGTTAAATTCTTTTTTAAGTGTTTTTGTTAAGGAAGTAGCCATGATATGCAAGGATAAAGTGTGGCTGTCGTAAAAAATGAACATAAATGATTTTTTGATGCAACTCTAGTTATGCAGAATTCCGTATGTATCAAACTCTGGTGCCTTGCAAAATAAATTATAATACATAAAAATAAACCTATACTAAAATGCATACAGATATACAGTACGATTTAGATTGCAACGATCAGAAAATACCACAGAACTTGCAGCCCTTTGATTCTTTATAAATATAAATGCTTATAGTAAGCTCCAGGATTATTTACATCTGTGTTAAACAACAGTTAAAGTCGTTACAAGCCCTAATTTAGAATAATATGGTTTTCTTCAGCCCTTTCACATATAGATTCACCGTGGCTGAAGGGTTTTCGGGCTCGCTTAGAAAGCGAGAGGTCTGGAGTTCAAATCCCAGTAAAGGTAACTCATTTTTTTCAAATTGTTAAAGTCAAATAAACATTGGATTGAATATCAGTGTTGCAATTAGTCTTATAGCCAATTTACTACAATTAAAACGCTGGAAAGCATTGGTGGCACTATACATATAATCTCACAACCTGCACCTTTCTTACATTCTGAGACCCAAACAAATTCAGCGCCTTCTGTGCTTTGATTTGCAATAAGTATAGTGATAGTAATTTAGTATTTCGTATGGAGTCAAAATACTACATTGTTTACATTTTGCTACTTTTATGTCAAATAATTTCACATTCATTGCTACTTTTTAATGTGTCAATATCTAAAATGCTCATAATCATTATTTAAATTTTAAACTGATGTTTGCCCTTTTCTAAACAGGGAATAATAATTCCTATCTAAGGCAGAATGTGCCTTTTAGTGCCAGCAATATACATGTATAACAGATAATTTTACACATAAATATGCACAATCATTTATTTCATTTCATTTAAAAATGATATTATAAGTGTACAATTAAGTTGTTCTGACCGAACAGAGGAGAAATCATGAAGTGTATTCTAGACATACAGACATCGGTTATGTCTTTCGTGTTGATGTTGTAACTTACAAAAGATAAAACTAAATAAATGTTCTGTTATTAAGGTGAAACTATGACAATGTTTTGTATTTGCAGTGTAAGACGACCATACCGATAAAAATTAACAAAAAGAAATATTTATATAACTGTGAATTATTTGGTTAGGTACAATGAGAAATAACATACGTATTGCGGACAAAAGGAAATGTTTTCAATCGGACCTGCCAAGCAATTTATAAATCGATTGAGGCACACGTACTTGAATTTTTCTATACTTTTAATGCTTGATGATTATTTGTTTATCAGATGTATCCACGGCAAAAAAGCATTTTACATCAGGCTTATGAAATTTTATTGAAAAAGTCTTTATTTGTTTATTTGTCATTTCAACATTGTTTGCTTTGTTTGACTTTAAGTCAAACCGACACTACAATGGTCACAATGGGACTTTCCCTTTTTCTGGTGAAGGAATGCCTTATGTGCGCGCGCCTTCTGCATTATTTCAGATAGGCCTGTAAACACAAGGATCGAGGTATCGTGCCCTTCAAGTGTAAAGATCATGCTGCCTCATAAGATACCGACACTCGTTAGTTCTATAAAATGGATTTGGGTTTTATTCAAATAAACTTAAATCTTTCATAACAACCGAGCGGAAATGAATTTGTTCAAACTTATTGATATATATTCGCTATTCAATGTCATTGAGCTATTTGTAATATGTATATTTGATTTGGTTTTCAAGTCTGGAAACATTATTAATTAATTTAACAGAACAATCAACATGATAAAGATAAAATAAATCAGACTAACGTGTTTGTTTCTCCGTTGCCTGATCCAACTCTTTCATTTGCTTTTCCGAAGCCGCAAGTCTTTTGGACAGTTCTGAAAGACACCCAAACAAAAAAATACATCAACGAATTATATCAAAATTGTGAATAAATCTGGAATAAATCATGTTTTCCCGATTTGTTAATACATTAAATGTGTCATAAATAAATTGTGCATTTACTGGAAAGTGAAGACCCCATTTATTATAGATTCATTACAAAAGTCAGATTTATTAACCATTGATTACAAACATGTGATATATTCAATACAATTTATTGCAAATTCTTTACACTGTATACAATTTATTTATGATTTATTGGAAATAGAACTTTTCCCGGCTGCATTTAATATCATTTATTACAAAATCATTACACTTTAACTGAGATATTCACAAGTTGTTCATGATCAATTAAAAACAGAGATGTCCAAGATTTATTCAATACAATTCATAACATATTCATTGTACTTCAGATGTTCATAATTTGCTTATAACAGAAATTTTCATTGATGTATGTCCTTTAGTTTTACTGTTCATAACAACTAAACCCCTATCAACTATACAAATCATTTTTTTAATCAGTCACTGGAAAAATATATATGGTTTTTTAAACCTTTTTTCAACTCTCTTAGTTTAAGCATCAACATATTAATTCCATGCTCAGCGCAAAAACGTAAAAAAAAATAAAATAACAGTCATACAATCTCTTTTAACTATTAAATATGTAACTAATTTGCATGTAGATTTTATTTTTGAGTGACCAAGATCAGTTTTTTAATGCTAATACTCAACATGCCATAATAAATCTGATAAACAGATTCATGCCCTCGAATTTTTTTATGATTAGACATATCCTTATCAGTAAAAAACTGTCGAAAAGATTGACGTATATGCGCAAAAAGGTAAAATGTCCGAAAAAAGAGACTAAATTCTCTTGCGATTGAACGATAAGATCTTGCAGGGAACGGCAGCCTACCACGCGCCCTCTATCAGCCGACAACAGAACAAGATTAATAGGAAACGAAATTTTGTGCCATTTCAGAAAAAAGATATCTTACCATACAAACAGTTTTCTTTCATTTGGATATAACTAATGTCAGAAACAAAATAACTTACAGCAGATTTTGTCATTGCAACTGCAAAATTAGGAACATTGTACAATACTATAGTAGCAAGGAATAACAGTTCGTTTGCATTAATTCTATGCATAGAAAAAAGGCGGTTATTTTGGAAGGTGAAAGCTTGTGGAGTTTCACAAAAATATGGATAAAAACAATCAAGGCATCTAGACTACTGATAGACGGTAAGTTCAAAATTTTATTTTCGTTCTACATAGCGTTCTAACCTTTTATAGATCTATATCATATGTTAGGTGACAAAGAAATAAAAATTACTGGAGTAAGGTGCAGATTAGGATAACGATCGATTCGCCCCATAACGACTCGCCCCATTTTAGTCATGATTCATCTTATCTTAATGACGATTGGCATCACCTTAAATTAAACATTATTTTATTCATTTGGATTGAAAAATATTTATGATGCGGGTATTTCTTTTTTTTTTTCTTATTTATTTATGTATACTTTATAAAGCACCCCCACAAAAAGACCAGAAATGAAGATACAAGTTTTATAATATGCATGCATGCACATGCATTGTTTATGAGGATATCTATGTACAGTCCATTTTAAAAAACATAAATCTACATTGTTTCACACTGAGCTCATCTGTGCATTTGAATGTGATGAAAAATGATGTTCTTTTTTATTTAAAGTGGCTTCAGAATACTATTTTCTTTTACTTAGTTATCTCGCAGAAAACTGCAAAGAGCAGCAAAGAAAGGACAGAACGTAAAAATCAGTAATCTGATGAGATGATAAAAAGCAGATGAACAGCTTCTTTGATCCTGAAAAGTTGGCTATTAGTTATGGGACGAGGGCATTCCAAGGAAATGACATTAATGATTCTTTGAAGCGTATGTATAGGGGGCTACATATATATTAATCATTTTAAAGATGACAATGTGCTTTTTAAATATTAAGTAAATGATAAATAATAATACTTCTTAATCTGAATTTTGTTCATGTACATAAAGTAATTCAATGTCATAGCCTTTCAATTTCGTTTTGAATGTAGTTGAAGCAAATAGTAAAATGTTGTGGGCTTGCTACACAATATTTGTTCATTTCTCTGTTCAAAATAAAATCGAACATTCACCCGTTTGTTTTATGAACAAATATTTACATATCATCAGACTTTGTGAAATATACTGCTGTTTTTTTTCATTAGAACATGTACAGTCCAAAGTGGTTGAGTCCTTAAGTGAATTTGATTATATGGCTCGAGTTTGAATTCAAATTCAGATTGTATTGCAAATAAACCACAAATAGATTGTACTTTTTTGCAGAGTGATATGTCAGAAGTCTAATTTTAAATTTTTATTTTTTATTTAGAAATATGATACTTTTTATGAGAATTTTCTTTTCTATTTCAGAGCATGCCATTCATTGTCCCAGTATAGGCATTCAAACATTTAATGATTATAGGAATAAAAAAATGTGTAGCACCAGACAGACACTGAAAAGGAAGGCAAAGATGTTTTCAAACTGACATAAAGCCCTAGTTTCTAAAACTAGGAATATATTCCTAACGCTAGCATGAATATTTCCAGAAGTAACTCTAGCATGAATATTTCCAGAAGTATTCCCCTTTGGGCTCATATTTCTTTCTAAAAATTTGGATTTCTTTTTAATTTTAGAAGGTTTCAATCTAAACTGAAATTTTAAGTTTCATATCAACTCCCATGAAAAATGTGTAACATATTTGTTTTTATATCTTTGTAAAATTTGCCCTGCTCCAGGAGGTCACAATTTTAGCTAAGTAATGAAATTCGGAATGTAGAGATATTTATAAAATCATTTGAGGTCATGACCTGTTTAATTCGATGGATATTTATGAAATGATCTAAGCACATTATGATTTAGAGTTTTCAATGTTATGATGTGGTGGCATAGCATGCTTTTCACAAATGTTAATCTTGATGTATGTTCTTGATTTATCTAGTCAGCTTTAGTTCGTAAAAAATAAAAAAAAAATAAAATTTATATTATATTTATATATATATATATATATATATATATATATATATATATATATATATATATATATATATATATATATATACATATATATATATATATATATATATATATATATATATATATATTATTATTATTATTATTATGATTCTTCCCCGGAATTGACACCATCACGTGACCTGCATTTATTTAAAAATCCATGAGATGAATATAAGCAGGCATATCTGACTTGTTAATGATTCATTAATCCAATGAATTTCGGTATATGGAAGAGGAAAGAATACAATTTATTAGTGATTCATTAACAATTTCTTTGCAATTTATTAATGAATCAGTTGGTCAGCGAACCTAATTTATTGCCAATTGATTGACCTGATTTGTTGACAATTCATAGACTAAGTCAAGAAAAGGACCCAATTCATTACCAATTTGTTGACCTGATTTATTAACAATTTATAATAAGTTGGTAAATGGATCCAATTCATTACCAATTCATTTCACTTATTTATTTACAATTTATTCATAATGCATTGGCTCATTTGCATTGCATTTCCATCTATAATGAATTGAGAATAAACTGTAAATTTGTTTTTCATTTATTATACTGATTCATTCCTATCCTTTTTGCTTGGTGGCCATCCTTGCAAGTGGTTTTGACCTCATCTGTTACTGCCTTTAAGTCATCTAAACCGTAAGTGCTCTTCTCCACGTCTTTCTTAATATTTGCCACAACTACTGACACGTTTCTCATGCTTTCAAAAAGAACAAATCTAGAGCTATTACTGAAGGTGATTCATACACCCACCTTATACTAAATAAGGTAAGAATTTGGAATATCAGCCTATATTAGTTATTTATATTCAATTAGAGTCATAATCACTGAAGTTGAATGATTGATTGATTTTTGGGATTAAATTGATTGATTGTTTTTTGATTAAATACCCCCAATATACCATTCTTGTTCCCACAAAAATAAAAAGGGTTTCAAAATAAAGAGCGGCATTAAAAGGGTTTTTAATTTTGGGGGAAAAAAATTTTTTTTTTTAATTCCCAATTTTTTGTCTATAAAACCGTAAAGTTCTTTTTTTTTGAAATTTTTTTTAATTTGTTGGAAAAAACCCCAAAAAGGCTTTTCCTTTTTTTTTAAGTGGGCTGTACCCCAAACTAAACCGGATTTTTAATTTATAATATTTTAAAAAAAATTTTTTCCCAAATTTTAAAAATACTTTAATTTGAAAAACCCCGCTTTTCAAACTTAATGTAAATGGGGTTCCTTCTAAAAAACGGGGCCATATAATGAAAAAATGAAATCGAAAAATCGCAACAAGTGATTGAAAAATAAAGAATAATATGAAGCTAAATTTATACTTGGTATGTATTTGATGATGTTAAACCATTGTACAGAAAATTGTGATAGTGGATCACATCTTAAACGACTCATCATCTGGAAATAACGTGTTTTTAGTGTTGTAAATATGTCATCAGGCTAAGAATTTAAGATTAAAATGGATGGGACACCAAATATTAAAACAACCCATTGCTTCTTTACAGAGTTAACGCATGGAAACCAATGAGAGAAGAAGACAAAGACGGTGTCATAAGTACATGTATGTGAAAAAGTAGTGGTTCTAAAACCAGATTTGAATTCGACCTGTATTGTATGATCTTATATATGTGCACAAAAATTATCATAAATATAATTGCCTTATTTAAAGAGTTATAAAAAAGGGCTATAAACTTTGGGAAAAATGAGGAAATTTATCTGTACTTTATGGTATTACATCTATCACATATGTACCAAAAAAAGTTTTCTTTAAAGAGAGTAATCGACCGGACACCATGTTTTTTTTTTTAGATATAGGATAAAAGGGTGCCATTACTCTGTGAAAAAGTAGTATGATGTCAAATTCGAACATTGACCTGTTTTTATGATGTTACATTCTGTGAATAAAAAAATA